ATAGAAGTGTGGCCACATGTAGCCTCAACATTGCAGATTTCCCACCCCTGGACTACAGGTAGAGAAAGAGACATACATTTTCACCCAGGAACACTGTGTGGATTTATTTTGCTTGATTATATTTATTTGTTACAGGGAAGGGCTTTTATTTGCAGGAGGGACAGCAGTGATGATGATGATGATGATGATGATGATGCAAATAAAAGGAAAGGAAAAGAAAGGGCAACCATGAAACATTTTAAAATATGCAGAGAGGAGTTTAGAAGGAGCCTATTCTAGGCTGTCAGGAGACTGCAGGGCCCTGACTCTGGTTCCAATTCCACCCCTAATATTCACTAGCTCTGTAACCCGGGGCAAATCACTTGACTTCTCCGAGAGTCATTTGCCATCATCTGTGAATGCAAATAATAGCACCTAACAGGGCGATGTGAGGTTCAAATAACATGTATGAAGCACTTTGCAAAATTTGTAATTCTCTATATTATTATTCAATATATTGTCTTCACACACACCCCCAGCTTCATATCATCTATCTGCACATTTGATAAGCATGTTTTCCATGAAAAAATGTAAGCTCCTTGAGGTCTCAGATTTTTTTTTTGTTTTTATCTTTATATTCTCAGAGGCTCGAACAATGTGTTACACATAGCAGGGTTTAATAAATGTTTGCTGCATTGAATAATTAAACTATGCCTTCATTCAAGTGTTTGATTTCAAATGTTACCACAAGGCTAAGTAGAGATCCCTTAGGCACCGCATAAGATACCTCCCTCCAAGGTGACATCCAAGTATTTTTAAAATTTTATTTATTTCTTACATTTTAAGTTCTAAACTCCCTCTCTTCCTCCCCACCCCACACTAGGGAAGGCCACCATTTGACACAGACTTATAAATATATCTAAAACCATACTATGCATACTTCTATTTATCAGTTCTTTCTCTAGAAGTGGATAACATCTCCTTCATAGGTCCTTCATAGTTGATCTGAGTATTTATAATACTCAGACTAACGTGGTTGTTCAGTTATTCCTCAAACAATATTGCTGTTATGTATACAATATTCTCTTGGTTCTGCTCATTTCACTTTTCATTGTTTCATGCAAGTCTTTCCATGTTTGTCTAAAAATCAACCAGCTCATCATTTCTTATGGCACAATAGCATTCCATCAAATGACACACACAACTTACTTAGCCATTTCCCAGTTGATGGATATCCCTTCAGTTTCCAGCTCTTTACCACCACAGAGAGAGCCGCTATAAATATTTTAAAACATGTATGATACCAAATCATTAATGACTACTCTGGTTCTAAACATTCAATGAGTTTTGAATCCATATTATTTTACTATTGTCTAGGTCACATCTTTCCATCTTTTCCACAAGAAGAGCGTGAAAGATTTTGTCAAATGTTTTGCTGAAATTGAAGTATGAATGAATGAGCAGAAACATTGATGAGCCTTCACTATGTGCCAGACACTGTGCTGGAGTTGCAGCCCTGATACCTAGTACAATGCCTGGTATATAGCATTTAATAAATGAATGTTGATTGATTAATTGAATGGAAATACAAATACAAAATTGAGTGAGTTCCTGTCCTTTCGGAGTTTTTATTCTATGAGTGGGAGGCAACACATATATAGGGGAGTGGTAGCATAGGAAGGGTGCTTTGGTTTGAGAAAGCACAGTCATGATGAGTATATCAACAGACGGTTGGTTGACACGTCTGCTGCACTTTCTTCAGAAGCTATGGCAATGTTGATCCCGGATCAACAGCTGGAAGCGGGAATAGGTTTTATGGTGGGTCAAATGGCAAGATTACCAGAATGAAGAATGGCCAATCTGGAACTGGCTAGAGCGGACTCTCACTATTCTGGTCTACACAGGCCTCAGAGCAAGAGATCCAGAGTGGAATGACCCAGATCCTTAGGGTGTGGCCTCTGGGGGTTCTGATCAGAGTGATAGCAAATAGAGGGTAGATGGAAAGATGGTTACCATCCTCGTAACTCTGCCAAAAAAGGAAATTCAACAGGCATTTATTAAGTACCTAATACATACAAGACATTGTGTTAGGCACTAAGGATAAAAAGACAAAAAAAAATACCCCTACCCTCCAACAGTTTACATTCTGCTAGAGAATACAATACTCAAAATGTTTAAATACAACATAATCTGAGGGAGAGACAAAACATTAATCACTAGAGTAAATAGAAAAAGTTTCATAGAGGAGATGGCGCCTAAGAATTTCTAAGGAGCAGGAATGAGGAGGGCATGCATTTGAAACAAGGAGAACAGCTTGTGCAAAGCTGTGGAGATGGGAGATGGAGAGTCAAGTTTAGGGGACAACAATTAGCTCTTCCAGATTCGTTCTTCCATCAAAACTATGAACTACTTGAGAGAACGGACTGGTTTTATTTATTTATCTATCTATTCACCTATTTGTTTGTTCCTTCACTTATCTATTTATTTATCTAACCATCTATCCATCCATCCATTCATTTGTTTTTTTGTCTTTATATCCCCAGCACTTAGCATAGTACCTGGCACATAGTAGGGCTTTAAAAAATGCTAGTTGACTTGACCTGAATATAGCTTGTATGAAGAAAAGTAACATAAAACCAGTCAGGAAAAATGGGCAGGAGCTAAGGAGTTTGAGTTCTAACCTACAGGAAATAGGAGCCACTAAAACTTCTTGGACATATTGGTGACATGGTCACATTGGTGATATGGGAATATTTATTTGAGAGCTGTGTGAATGTGGTATTGAGGTTGATTATAACATCATAAATCTAAAGGTGGAAGGACCTTTATAAAGCCAGCCATCATCTAGTTTAACTGCATTATATCACAAATGAGGAAACTGAGGCCCAGAAAGGTTGTGACTTATCAGAGGTCACACAGATACCAAGTGGCAGAGCTTCAATGAAAAATCAGGTCCTTGGATTCCAAATCCAGGACTTACTCCACTCGATCAGAGTATCTACAAGGAGACCAAAGGTGAGGAGAAAAGAGAGGGGGGAGGGGGGAGGCATTGAAATAGTCCAAGAGGTGAACTCCTTCTGACTTTCCTGGTTTCCTTCAAGGCTCAGCTTAAATCCTACTTTCTGTAGGAAGCCATTCCTAATCTACTCAGTTCTAGAGTATTCCATCCCAGATAAAATCCTTCCAAACTACTATGCATATGAGGCACCTAGGTGGCACAGTGGATAGAATCCTGAATGAGGAGTCAGAAAGATCTGAATTCAAATCTTTCCTCAGACATAAACCAATTGTATAACTCTGGGCAAGTCATTTAACCTCTGTTTGCCTCAGTTTCTTCATTTGTAAAATGAGGATGATAATAGCACCTACTTCCCAGGGTTGTTGTGAGGATATAATGAGATGTATATAAAGTGCTACATAAATACTAATTGTTATTAATAAATATATTGTACGTGTAATTTTTTGCACATTGTCTCTCCCATTAGAAGGTGAGGTCCTTAAGGGCAAGGGCCATGTTCCTGTTTTTGCCTTTCTTTGTATTTCCAGTGCTTAGCACACAACCTGACTCCAATACGACCTTAATAAATACTTGTTTATTGGACTGACTTACTGGTGACTATAAGAAGACAATGCAAGAGGTATTGGGGAAGTAAAATCAACAAGACTTAATTTCTAGATATTGGGGAAGCAAACATAATGGAATAATCAAACATTCTCCCTCAAAAAAATTGAATACTAGCTCCTTGAAGGCACAAACTTTCCTTTCTTTTCTTGATATCTCCAAGTCTTACCACAGTGCCTGGCAGTTACTGAATAAAGGCTTGTTGAATGAATATATGAATGAAAGAGTGAATGGATGAAGGAAAGAAGGAAGGAATAAATGAACGAGTGAATGTAGGAATGAACGAAAGCACTAATAATGGACGGAGTGAATGAATAGATGAAGGAATAAGTGTTTTTAAAGTACCTGCAATGTGCTAGGCACACTTATAAATAGTATCTCATCTGATCCTCACAACTCTATGAGGTGGGTGCTGTTATTATCCTCATTTTCTGTTGAAGAAACTGAGGCAAACAGAGGCTAAGTGACTTTCCAAAGGTCACACAGCTAGTATATGAGGTCAATTTTGACTTCAGGTCTTCTAGATTCCAGGCCAGTGCTCTACCCACCATACCACCAGCTGCCAGGAAGGAAAGAAGGAAGGAAGGAAGGAAGGAAGGAAGGAAGGAAGGAAGGAAGGAAGGAAGGAAGGAAGGAGTGAATGAAGTAATGAATGAAGGAGTAAAATGAATAAAGGAATGAACATTTCTAAAGCACCTACTGTGTGTTAAGTACCTTTACAAATATTTTCTAATTTGAGCCTCACAACAACTCTGTGAGGTAGGTCCTATTATCATCATCCCCCATTTTACAGTTGAAGAAACTAAGGCAAATAGAAGTTAAGTGACATGCCAAGGGTCACACAAGCTACTAAGTATCTAAGGTTGGATTTGAACTTAAGCCTTCTTGATTCCAGTCCCAGTACTCTATCCACTGCATCACCATCTGCCTCTAATGAATGAATGAACGAAGGAACGAATGAATGAATAAATACATGTAGACCACTTTAACTCGGCATTAAACGTAGCATCTTCTTGATGAATCCATGCCGACTCTTTGCCTTCACCACTTCCTTTAGCTCCATACTCACCCTCAATTTCCCGGACCTCACTCTTCCTTTCTACCAGGGATACCGCCCGAGCCTCGCTGGACCTGGCCACACAGCAGGAGGAGATGCTCGGTCCCCGCCCTCGCGTGTGACAGGCCCCGCCTGACTGCGCCTGTGCACGATGCGAACCTCGCCGCTACCTAGCAACCCAGTCCAAGCCTTAGCAACCGAAATGGGCAGGGCGAACTCCCCGAAAGGCAGCAGAAGGGCAGGCGCGCGGCAGGGGCCAAGCCTCGCGAGAGCAGGCGCGGCGCGCGCGAGCAGTGGCGGGAACGGAGGGGCAGCGCTTCCCTCGCTTCCGCGCTGCGGTCCTCTGTCTCCGTCCGCTCTCCGTCAGCGCCGCCATGGAGGCCCCGGCCGTCCGGAGGCAGCAGCAGCAGCAGCAGCAGCCTGCGGCCAAAAGCAGGAACCTGCCCTGGTAGGGGACCGCGGCCGGGGCGGGGGCGGGGCAGGGATCCCGCAGCCTGGTGAGGGGCCCAGGCGTGGGACTGCGCCAGGTGGGGAAGGGGCCGGGCTCAGAGCCGGGGGCGATTCCGGAGTAGGACAGTGGAGGACAGCGAGCCCCAGGAAGGGGCGCGTGGGGGCTGAGAATTAGAGCTAGGGGCGACCCCAGAGAGCGCCGAGTGAGGTCGGGGCCGAGAGCAAGGAAAGTGACTGAGGGTCATAGGCTTAGGGTTAGGACGCTGTCGATCCCTCTCCTTGACACTTTCCGCTGCAGGTTTTCAGGGCGCCCCCGTCTCTGGTCCTCCTCCTTCACAGCCTCGGACTTTGCTGGATCCTCCAGATCACACCCTCTGGCCAGGACCCTGATTCTCAAATCTACTTTTCCTTCCCCAAACACTCTACTGACCTCCAGTCTCATATAACTAACTGTTTTTCAAACATCTGGAACCGGACGTCCAGCAGATATCTTAAACTCAGTGTGTCCAAAACAGAACTCCTTATCTTTCCCCCATTACCTCCAACCTTCCTTGTGACTGTCATGGGCATCATGTCCCAGTGTCTCAGGTTCAAAATCTAGGACTCCTGGAGTCCTCATATCTCTCACCCCCCAGATCCAATGTGGTGCCAAGGCTTGTCAGTTTCACCTTTGCAACATCTCTGGTCAATTTCCCCAGTGAAGCATCTCTTGTCAATTTCACCACCACCACCACCCCCCCCACAGCATCTTTCAAATATGCCCCCTTCTGTATCACTATCTCCTGCTGTCGCTCTGGTGCAGACCCTCATCAGCTCACACCTGAACTATTCTAATAGCCTGCTAGTGGATCTGCCTTTCTCCAGTCCCTTTTGCCTTACTCCCCTGGACCTACTTACTCAGATGCAGTGGCACTGACCCATCATACAAAGACACTCCCGTCAACCAACTGAGCGTTTTCCATTTCTGTAAAATGAAGGAGTTAGGTTATTCCAAATCCACTAAAAAAGAAAATTACAAATCACCACGCTGAGATTCCATCTCGCACCCAGAGAATTGGCCAAGATGATAACATCATTGGTGTCGGACGGTCTGCTAAAAGACAGATACACTAATACAACTGTGGTAGAACTCTGAATTACTCCAGCTGTTCTAGGAAAAAATTTTGATTTCTACTAAGAAGTGATGTAAATGTCCAGATCCTTTACTTAGAGATCCTGCAGGTAAGCATCTACCCAAGGAGGTCACAGATAGAAAGTTCCTATGTGTACCAAAATATTCATAACAGCACTTTTTGCTATTTACTCCTTCATTCATTCCTTCCTTCCTTTATTCTTTCCTTCCTTCCTTTGCTATAGCAAAGAACCAAGCCAATGTCCATCAGTTGGAAAATAACAGTAAACAAATTGTGAAAGATCTAAGACTTCTGAACAGAATATTATTGTGCCATAAGATACAATGAATAGGAGGAATTCAGTGGAGCTTGGAAAGATGTATTGTGTACCTGTGAGTGAAGTAAGCAGAACCAAGAACGCTCAATGACTGCATGTCCTACCAGCTCCTGAGTCTGGTCAGCTTTCCGTCCACCGCATGTCTTGTCTCTGCCTCCGCCCCCAACACCTCTCACCTGGACAAGTGCCATTGCTTCCTCATTCCCCACCCCCGCCCCCTTCACGCTCCCCGCAGCCAGGCCACATTGTCCACATCTGCCAAAGTGATCTTCTCAAAGCGTCTCCCTGACAATTTCATGCTCTTGCTCATGAGGCTCCAGGGGGTCCCTTTTGCCTCCAAGATCAAATGCAAATGCCTTAGATTGGCATTTAAAGTTCTTCCTCTCTTTTCGGACTTGGTACCCTGCTATGCCCCTTTATGCAGCCCAGTCAGGCGGGCTCAATTGATGCCTCTCACACATGATCTTCCATGTCCCATCTCCCAACCTTTGAACTAGCCATACCCAAGCCTGTAATGGATTTCTTCTTCACCTCCATCCCTCAGAATCCCCAGCCTCCTTCAGAGCTCAGCCCAGGTGGCATCTCCTCCTATAAATAGGGCCTTTTCGTAGCGGCCTCCCCCTTCTACTCCCGAAATTTCCTTGTGTTTATTTTATATGTTTTTTGTATCAGTTTATGTGTGCATGGTGTATCCCTGATGTAGGCTCCTTGAGGGCATGAACTGCTTTTGTTTTTGTCTTTTTGTCTCTACTGCAAGGTTTAGTCCCTGGAATATAACATGCTCTTAATAAATGCACAATGTAAACAGAACCCACCCCCTACCATTTAGTTACAATGATCAAGTGTCACCTTGGAGAAGAGTTGAGAAAGTAGTTCTTCCTTGTAGAAGAGTGGGCATTGAATGGTGCGTATACATGGCTACATGTACATGATTAAAAATTCTGAAATTCCATTCTCTAATCGTAACCTGTCTCCCTGAGCCTTGTAGCTCCTTCATATTTCCCATGACCTCCACAGTGCACTTTCCCAGGCCATCACTCTTGCTCTGGCTTCACTTTCCTCCCTTCCCAATTCTGATCTTTACTTAACCAGTTCAGTTACAAGCCTTCCTCTGCTTGTAATCTCTTGCACTCTTGTTCTGTTGGAACGAAGGCGGGATTTATTAAGCATGCCTGTGTGCCAGGTACTTTACAAATGCTATCTCATTTATTCCTTACAACAACCCTAAGTTGGTAGATACTATTATTATCTACATTTTACAATTTAAAAAAAAAAAAAAATCCAAGGCAGACACAGATTAAGTGACTTGTCCAGGATCAGACCACTAGTGTCTGAAGGCACATTTGAACTCAGGTCTTCCTGACCCCAGTCCTACCACTCTGTCCCCTGAGCCTTCCAGCTGCCTCTGTTGCTGCTCCCATCTTGCCAGGCAGTTGCCCTGGATCTTTCCTGTGCTTTGGCTCCTGCCTTCCTACTGGCATCCTGCTCAACAAACCAGGACAAAGCCACATGCAGCCATGCTGGGTAGATTTATGTTATCTGAACCCAACAGGATCCTCATTCCTGCACCTAGGCCGTCATTTTACTCCCTGTCACCCAGCTGATTCTCTGTCTCACTCTTCAGAGTAGCTTTTGCAAACCTTTTCTGTCCTCAAGCCTCCAATACTGCCTCCTCCCTCAACCCTCCCACCTCCTACTTTACTGAAAGAGTAGAAGCCATTTGCTGGGAGCTCCCTCTTCTCCCCGTCTCAGAATCCTTCAATATCCTCCCTCATTCTCTTATTTAATTCCTCCTTTCCTTCCCCTCCCCTCTAGAGAAGGGGAATGGGGTATATGGGGGTGTTCAGAAAGGACTAGCACCTCTGATGAGAGGGCTGCTCATTCACCTTTAGGGTCCACCTGTCACCCAGCTCTCACCTGTGGCTCCAAGAAGCTGCAGCATGCACAGCGGCCACACCCCAGTAAATCCATCTTGGCAGATGGGATAACCCAGGTTGAGGGTAACAGATGGGCCTCAAACCCATTGGTGAATTAGGGGGGTGTCTGCGCCAAGCACGTGAAGACTTTCCCCAGCAGGATGGGCAGAGGAGAACAGTTTGTTCCGATGGCCACGAAGGCGGTCGAAGCAGACACTGTGGAGTGTTTAGAGCTTGGTCAGACATGGAAGATGCCAAGGTCATCATGTAGCCACTGGGGTCAGGCTTCCCGAGCCATCGCCAGGCATCTTGCCTCTGTCCTGCCATGGACTTTGATGACTCTGGGAGAGAGAGTGAGGCTGACTCTGTACAGCCCATGAGTCAAGATTTCACCCCGTGATGTCACTGATGATTATAGAAAACGAAGGACTAACAGCAACAACGTAATGGGAGAGCCCGCTTCCTCCTCAGACGACTCGTTCTGCTTTGGGATGGCTCTGGCTCTTCGGTCTCATTTGAATCAAACCTCAGTCTGCCTTTCTGCAGTTTTCTCCCCCACCGCCCATTCTGCCCTGTGGGGCCCATCAGAACAATCCAGTCCCTCTTCTCAGGAGGGTCCTTCGCACACTTAGACACAGGCTGCCGTGTCCCCACTCCATCTTCTCTTCTCTGAGCTAAATATCTTGATTCCTTCGACAACAAACCAGCCCCATAGTAGGGGTTCACAGTCCACGTAGAGGAGGAGTTACCCTGTAACCAGAGGCTCAGCCTTCTCTGACTCAGAAGGAATCCTAGGCATGAGAGAAATGGTGGGGAAAGGAGAATGTGGGTTTGAGGTAATAACATACCATGTCCCAACTTGTGACTTCCTTTCAGTAATTTGTCAGCGATGAGAAGACTCTGGGTCACGTGGCCACTGCCCTCGTTCAGGCCCCTTGGCCTCTCACCTGGGCTGTGGCAGTAGCCTCTGTTTCCAGTCTCCTTTCTCTGATCCGTCCCTCACACGGCTGCCAAAATAATCTTCCTGAAGAATGAGTTTGTGTCACTCTCCTGCTCTTGCCTCTAGGGTAAAGTAATAACACTTGGCTTGGAATTTAAGGTCCTACAACAAGGGAAATGTTCTGTGAGGTTTGGATCCAGTCAAAGAGCTGTAGTTGAGGACCTGGAGGGCCACATGTGGCCTTGAGGCCGCAGATTCCCCACCTCTGTCCTCCATGGTCTGGCTCGAGCTTGCTGTCACAAAATTCCAGTGAACTTGACATCTGTGTAATTTGCCACACTTGGTACTCCATCTGCCGCCGGTCTGTGCTTCATGCATAGACTTCAGTCCCTCTTCCACTCTGTGTTCTTAGCTTCCTGTGAGGCCCAGCTCAGGCACCACCCCCTCGAGGAAGCCTTTGTGACTGTTTAGTTCTCAGATTGGCGTGTCCATAGCTCTTTGTGACCTTTCCCCTCCCACGTGATAGCTGCTTGTGAGCTCCGTAAGGACAGGTGAGGAGTTCTTGTCTTGGTAGCCCTGGCACAGTGCATTGCACATAGGAACTTAATGAATATTTATTAAATTGAATTCAGATTGATGAAATTAGTAATTGTGCTTCATCAAGAAAAGGTTCATGTACCTAGAGCTGGAAGGGACCTCAGAAGGCATTTAGTCTAAACCCCATTATATAGATGAGAAAACAGACCTAGAGAGGATAAGGCCAAGGTCACGTGGGTAGTTGTGCCAGAGCTGGGTTAGTGCTCATTGGACCACATTGGCCCTGGCCTACATCATCTTTGGGAGCAAACAGGTATGGGTAAAATCCTCTACACATACATCCAGAGCCTCATAGGCAATAGTCTGTGTTTCACAAATAATTTAGAATGCATAAAAAAAATAAAAACTAAAAGGGGCAGCTAGGTGGCGCAGTGGGTAGAGCACCAGGCCTGGATTCAGGAGTACCTGAGTTCAGATTTGGCCTCAGGCACATAACACTTATTAGCTGTGTGACCTTGGGCAAGTCACTTAACCCCATTGCCCAGCCCCCCCCCCCCAAAAAGAATGCATGAGGCATGAGGATTCTTAGTGGAAACACAATAGAACTTAAACTCTTTTATATGCTAAAGTCTTTTTGCCTATATTTACATTGTAACATATATATGGACATTCTTATTTTAGGGTTGAAAAATATCGACCACAGACACTGAATGACCTAATCTCCCATCAGGATATCCTAAGCACCAGTAAGTGTCATTGTGTTTCAGAATCATAGATTTCGAGGTCATTAATAACCCTGGTCCTCCTATTTAAAGGGCCTGAATGTCCTGCCATTGTCTTTCCAATGGCAGCATAACAGCATTTTTTAATGCTTTGTCATGCTAGAATATACACTAAGATTTCTACCTCTTAGGAATGGGCTGGAGGAGCTCCTCACATAAGGAGGTAAACGTATAAAGTCTGATGACCCCTCTCTTCTCCATCTTCAGTCCAAAAATTTATCAGTGAAGATCGACTACCACATCTGCTTCTCTATGGCCCTCCCGGGACAGGGAAGACGTCCACCATCCTGGCCTGTGCCAAACAACTCTACAGAGACAAAGAGTTCAACTCCATGGTCCTGGAGGTGAGTTCAATCCTACGTTTACAGAACACTTTCCTTAGCTTTTCTCATCTGAGCCTGTAACTGCATGAGGTGGGGACTCCAGCCATCATTAACCCTATTTTATAGATAAGGCAGTGGGGGCTCAGAGAGTTTAAAAGGCTTGGTTACAAAGCCTAGTGAGGGTCTAAGTTGGGATTCAAACCCAGGTCTTTTTGACTCTTAAGTACAACAGGACTTCTGGCCCTGTCTTCCATGTGGCTATGGGTATGGCTGTGGAATCCAAGATGCTCAGTTTATCTTCAAGTCTTCAGTAACACAAGTGCTTGCTTTATTTTGCTTTGCAAAGTAAGCCACATGAAGGAGCAGCTAAGTGGTGCAGTGCATAGACTACTGGCCCCAGAGTCAGGAGAACCTGAGTTGAAATCCAGCCTCAGACACTTAGTCACTGTGTGACCCTGGGAAAGTCACTTAACCCCGATTGCCTTCAAAAAAAAAAAAAGAAAGAAAATTAAGCCACTTGGGCCCAATGAGTAGCTGGAGACCAAATTAGTTATGAGGCATTTCTAAGTTTACTCCTGACAGTGGCATCACAGACATATAAGTTAGTCCTCGTTAATATAACACCTTCCAAAGGCTCCTGACTGTATTACTCAGGACGTTGCCATTATTGTCTGTCTTCTTTTCCCTGAAGCCAGTTACAGCCTCTGGAGACTTTGAAATTTGCATGTGCCATCACAGAGGTGGGCTTTGTATATTATTACATTCTATTATGTTATTATTTGTTTGGCCGTTAGAAATAGTGTCGATATTATGGCCGTGCCAGCATTACCGTTCTCTGCGTTTTAATGTAGTAAAAATTCTTCAGCTTATAAAAACATCCTCTGTAGTATCATTTCATCATGTGCTGGTTGTGCCTGCATTGCTGTCCAGGATGACCAGGCGCCTGCCTAATTGTTCCTTTAACTTAGATGAGTGTGCTTATCCTGTCAATGAGAATGATAAGAAAGAAATAGGGTTGATTGTCAGAGATACTGCCCAGTCATTAGTAGGCATGCTTTTTAATTTATAGGGTTTTCTCTTTCTCAGTATTCTAGACCTGGAGAGTTTTATCCTGTTGGAGTGAATGAGGAAGGCTTTACCCAAGCCAAATGTGTGTACACAGTAGATACAGTCCTCTGCCCACCATGTGATTCTGATGGTCTTTTCTCCCTTTAGCTCAATGCTTCTGATGACCGAGGAATAGATATTGTACGGGGACCAATCCTGAGCTTTGCCAGCACAAGGACAATATTTAAGTATGAACTATTGGGTACATTTTCTCCCTGAGGATTTTGAGCAATGAAGAAAAAGCCTAATTTATTAGCTCTTTCCCACTTTACTATCTTTACTATCTTATAAAGATAAAATTACTTAGTAAAATATAGCCACATAAAAAAAGCATGATAGCAGGCAGCCTGGATGGTAGATAATAGACGTGGCAGTCCAAAAACATTTTCCAAGGCAAATTTTACGTAACACTTAAAAATACAATTCAGTCAAGGCCTGAATTAACAAATTCTTGAAGAAATTATCACCTATGTTTTTATTGTTGACCTAGGGCAGGTTGCATCTCCACTGAGATTTATCATATACTTGATTTCTTTAAAATTAAGTAAGGGTGGGAAAGAGTAGCTTAGCATGATGTTTGGAAAAGCATAGAAGAAAAGAATAAAGGACCTAAGTATGTATGGCTTGAAGAAGACAAGGGGGTTGTGACAGAAGTTTTGTAAAAGAAGGATGGTGGGACAAATGTAGAACATAAAGAGAATTGGGGAAGGTAGGCGGTTCTAGTGCAGGAGTAGGGAACCTGCAGTCTTCTAGGTCTTTAAGTGCGGCCTTTTGAAGGCCACACTTAAGGACCTAGAAGGAATTCGTGACCTTAAGGCCACAGGTTCCCCACCCCTGTCCTATTGCACGGCCGAGGGGGGAAGCCCACGCTGGGAGGCTGGGCCCCATGAAGCCGGAGCTCCTGGGCAGAGGGGTTGGGGAGCTCCTACAGCTGCCGGTTTTAAGTAGTTATTCTCACTAAGGAGGTGCCAATAGCAGTTGGTTCCTCGCTGCTAAAGGACTGAAGATTCTGTGGGCATCCTCCACATGTCTTCACCCTGTGGCCACGCCTGAGCCTAGGCTCCTCTCTGGTGACAGGCTGCCTTTGTTAACAACTGAAATTGGGCCGCTTGTTTGGAGCAGGCTTTGGGTTAATGCTTCCTACCCATTCCTCAGAGCTGGGGTTCCCTGTGTGGCCAAGACATGAAAGAACATTGAAGAAATTCTTAAAAGTTTTATTATTATTATTTTTGATCACTAGGAAAGGTTTTAAACTTGTGATATTGGATGAGGCAGATGCCATGACCCAGGATGCGCAGAATGCCTTGAGAAGAGGTAAGAGGAGCTAGTGTGCTCAGTTACATGCTCTCTTACTTATTAGTTGTTTTCCATTAACTGAATTCCCATTTTCTTGCGTGTTCTTCATTAATTGTACCCCTGTACCCACCTATGGAATGAGAGTTCAGTAATGGTTGGCCACAGCAAGGTACCTGGGATCTGCCAGATTTAGTGTGAAATCCACACTTTTTCTGTTCATTTTCAATAGCAGAGTGATAGTGAAGTTTGAAAGGAGGCCTCCCAGTGGCCAAGGTATTGGAGATTCATGCATGACCAGGCACTGTCTCCTTCAGCCTCTTTAGCTGGGTTTGATTGAGGTGCTATGAGTTTGTATGAACTGCAGGAAGCCTTTCATCGGGGCTGAGAGAGGATCCTTCATTCCCGAGCTGTTAGCACGATCTTTCTGCTCCTGGGTCTCTGAGGTACGAAACATTGACAGGGAATAATTCACAAGGTGATTGTAGGAACTTGTAGAAAACTCAGATTTCTTCTTCACTCTCTGACAAATGGATGCTTTGCATGAGATGACCTCGTCTTACTCTTCACAAAGCTTATTAGCTGATTTCCTCCAAAGGAGTATTTATTAGCGATCTCTCTCCATTTTAAGATTCTGAAGTGTTGTCCTGTGAGAGATCAGGTCTTTTCAGAAGCTTCTGTGGGAGAGTGTGGGTTGCAGTACATGCCTGTGAAGAGGCTAATTCCTCCTCGGCCTGGGGTCTCCTCCAGCCGAGCAGTTTTGGCGGCTTCTCCTTGGCATCTGGCTGTGGGCAGTCACAACACGGAACATCCAGCAGATGAGCCTGGGATTGTGTGTCCCTGTGATCTAAGTCGTCTCCTTTGAGAGCCCTTTTAGGGTTTCCCAGACCAGCTATGGAATCTCACTGTGAAATCTGCTGGCTATCTTCTCTGTTCTCTGACTTGGAGTTTTAGTTGGGGGGGGTGAGACGGAGGGACTGCATTATCACAGCCACAGAAATAGCATCAGGGATAGCTTTCACATGGGTGAGTTTATCAGATTTCATGTTTGGGAAGAGACATGGTAGAATCAGTCAACAAGCATTCATTGAGGGATGAGCATGATCTCTGCTTTCCAGGATCTCATAGTCTACTTGGGGGGGCAAGTGACCGAATGAGTGCCAGAGTTATGGCTGCCCTTGTCCTGTGAAGGTGGCGCCCACACAGCCCGTCAACTCTGAGCTGTGCTCACTCCTGTAGCTCTGCCTTCTTGCATTTAGCCATACGGAGCAATGGCATCGTCCCTATCTGTTTGCATCCTCGTTTTCCTTCCCCCTTCAGTTCCTTCCCATGACATGGAAGTCAAAACCCTGGAACCCTTAGAATGTTAATCCTGAGGTCTCCGTCTGTCCTTAAATCATCTCATCCTGAGGAGACTGAAGAGGAAGTTTATTTGTGTATGTTTTTAACCTCTCTTTCCAGTGATTGAGAAATTCACAGAGAATACCAGGTTTTGCCTCATCTGTAATTATCTGTCAAAGATCATCCCCGCCCTGCAGTCTCGATGTACAAGGTTCCGATTTGGCCCCTTGACCCCTGAGCTGATGGTTCCCCGCCTGGAGCACGTCATAGAAGAAGAGAAGTGAGTATAGGGCAGGGTTGGAAGGAAGTAGACGGAGCAGGCCTGGCGTGTGCATCGGGCTACCTTCCTTTTCCCTTCTGATTTACTCATACTCTCCTTTTGTCATTAGAGACTGCATGTGGCTAGGTCTGTGTCCTTTCTGCTGCAGATTTCTCTAGATCTTCATGACTAGAAGGGAAGTTTCTGAGATACAGTGTTCTCTGTAATCACGTGCTGAGGGAGCATGTTTGTCTCAGCTCTGCCACCTGGGGCCAGTGACTCAACCGCTCTGGGCCTCAGATTCCTCATCCAGAATGAGGGGCTTGAACTGAGGCAGTTCTCATATCCCTCTTAGCTTGAGATCTGTGATGTTGTGATGTCCAGAGACTATCGTCTGAGTGCTCTGGTCCAACAGAGGAATGAATGTAGCCATTGCCTAGTTCTAAACAGATGACCTTTGTAGACTGGGTGGGTTGTTAGTGCTTTAAGGAGGCCTGAGACTAGAAAAATCAGCTTTGTTTCTCAATCAGGCCTGGAGACTGCATTTTGGGGATCCTAAAACCTACCTTTCTCCCTTTGGGGAACATTTGCTGTATTATAGGAGCTTTAAATCTCTGTTGCTTCTTTTCTTGTAGTGTTGACATAAGCGAAGACGGAATGAAAGCCCTTGTTACCCTTTCCAGTGGTGATATGCGAAGGGCCCTGAACATTTTGCAGGTATGGTTGGAATTTGAGCTACGTTCTAAACATTGCCTTGGAATGAGCTCCCCAGGGAGGGAAGAGGCAGCAGCACAGCTTGACTGTGAGATCAGGAACCCGCAGCAAGAAAGGCCCTGATGCCAGTTACCAGGGCTCCCCCTGAGGCGTGAGAGAGGGCAGGGGAGGAGCCACTTGAAAGCCAGGCCCCCAAAGTGCTGCCCTGGGCCTCCTTCACACTGGTCCTGGCCTCTGGCCAGCTGCCTCTGAAGTGGGGTGGGCCACGCTGGGTCGCTTCTCTGTGTCCCATAGTCTTACAGCTCTACCTGCCTGATGAACATTTTCCACTCAGGGCCCCACAGGCAGATATCTCAGACTCTGCACGGCCCAAGCCAAACCCCACCTCTTCTCCAAACCTGCTGGTTCTCCCAACTTGATTATACCAGTAGCCTGAAGCCTCAGTGACACCTTCAGCTCCTCCTTCCCCTGCACCCATCCCCTCCGTTTCTGCTGCCATGGCCATGCCCTGGTTCAGGCCCAGGGCCACGTGGGCCTGCATTGTTTTCATACCTTCCTAGCTAATCTCTCTGTCTCTAGCCTTCTCCAAGTCACCCATCGTACAGTTGCCAAAATGCTCTTCAGGTAGAAATCTGGCCAAGTCATTCAGAGACTCATAGATTTCAAACTGCAATGGACCTTAGAAGCCGTTGATTCCAGATCCTTCATCTTATAGATGAAAAATCTGAGGCCCGAGAAGTTAAGAGCCTTGCCCAGGGTCACACAGCATCTGAGGCGGGATTTGGACCCTCGTCTTTCTGCCTCCACCTCCAGTACTCTATCCACTGCTCCGTGCTGCTGCTTGGATTCCTTACTCAGAATGTCTGTGGTGCCATATTGTCCATAGGAGGGGTTTTAATGTGGGGCCCACACACCTCCATGACATGGATAGGCTTCAGGCGGGGAGGGAAAGTTGGGGGTGAGTAGTCTGTGAACGTGGATGAAAAAGAAATTGCTTCTTTATTTTCTCTAACCTCTAACAGAAAATTTTGCATTTTTCTTCAACTGTGATTTTTTCCAAATATTTTGCTGCCAAAACCGTGAGGAGCCAAGCGTGCTGTCTGATTAGAGGGCATATGAGAGTCCCATTCGCGGCACAGACCATTCTCCCATGGTGTCAGGTGTTGGGGGAGTGGAGGTTGGCCTGGATCCCAGGTGGCATCTTAGCGAGCCCCTGGCTGGGTGGCCCAGCAGACTTCCTCTTGACTCGTCTGCAGTGTGGTGCCCGTGGTGATCACAGTGTTTCTCCTCCTCCTGGGCAGAGCACCAACATGGCCTTTGGGAAAGTGACCGAGGAGACGGTATACACCTGCACGGGGCACCCACTCAAGTCTGACATCGCCAACATTCTTGACTGGATGCTGAACCAGGACTTTACCACGGCGTACCGGAGTATCCTTTGCCCACGTCACCTGGGAGGCAGGAGAGGCCACAGCGGGTTTATCCTCCTTAGGACTTGACACCACCTTCAAGCCTCGTAGGTTCAAGGCTGCAGCTCTTCCCAGCTGACGTGGAATGGTTGCTGTGATGGGGAATGAGGGGCAGTGTTTAATGGGAGAGCATGGGCCATACAGAGGTGCGTCGACGTCCCAAGGGCACAAATGGAGCAGACACAGTATTTCTCTAGCATCGTTATTTGAAGAGTAGACAAGTATATTCTGAAACCTCTTATATAATTTTGTTCTGTCCAGCAAAATGGTAAGGGCACTGTTCTTTTTGAGAAGCTCATTAAATGAAATAAAGATGTTTTAAATAGTAGGGGCTTCCAAAGAACAGATAGGAGAAGGCACCTTCCTCTGCTTCTTTGAAAGGGGAGAAGGGGCAGCTAGGTAGCACAGTGGTTAGAGCACTGGCCCTGGCATCTAGGGGACCTGGGTGGGGAAGGGGGGACACAACTGTGGGTGGGGAACACTACATATCATGTCATCTTGTTCAGTGCTGCCTAGCTTTTTCTTCTTTTTTTTGTTTTAAAGGATTGCTTGCTGGGAGCGGGGGAGGGATACATTCAAAATGGAGGTGATGTAAAAAAAAAAAAAAGATAGCAATACAAATTTGTTTTCTAAAATAAATACAGGGGCCTGGCAGCCTGTCTTGAAATGTAATCAAACTGAAGGATTAAAAGCCCATGGTAAATCTCAGGGTGTGCGATCTAGCTAGTTTCCATAATCACGGTATGTTAAAAATGTTAAAAATCATTTGCATGGTTTTGTTGTAGATCTTGTTCAGTTTCCCTTGACTAAGTCTCCTTTCCAGATATCATGGAACTGAAAACCCTGAAGGGCTTGGCACTGCACGATATTCTGACAGAGATACACTTATTTGTACATCGAGGTAACTTGGGTGCTTTTCTTGCTTTCTTTGGAAACCACAGTATAGAAATAGCAGGCTGGGAGGAGGAACGTGGTTCTTTATTTGGAAATGGAGGAAAGTGTCAGGAGCATTATTCTGATCCCATAGCTGGGAATGCGGTCTTAAGCATAGAGTTCATCTAGGGAAATCTTTTGTCCGGAACAGTTGAGGGAAGGAGAGCCGGCAGGGTTCGTTTGTCCTGCTGGGGTGCATCACAACCCCAAATTCTTTCTAGAAAGACATTCATCAGAGAAGGGAAGAGGATACTATAGCATCCTCATCTAAACTGAAACCGTCTTTAAGTAAAAACATTTTAATGGAAATTCCACAGTGATTTATTTAGGATTTCCCCTTTGGGTCGGTATTTCTGGAATTTGGTCTAAGCACCAAGAAACTCAATATCAGATATTATTCCCTTTTCTCTTACTGGGAAGTAACCATCAGCAGAGTGCTGTGGTGGGCAACGTCAGTAAGCTTTTGATTGACAGTGCCTTTCGAGGCCTCTCCACTGCTGAATACCGTGTGACCGTATGCCAGAGTGTGGTTTTCAGAAGCACAGATTTCCCCTTCGAGTGACGTTTCTAACCTCGTCTCCTGCTTCTGTTTCCATCCCAGCAACGGCCATCACCTATTCTTTTAATTGTAGAAGTTCTGAAGGTCTGATCACAATTGTTTTCTTTATAAACCCTTATGTCACACCCAGCTAGAGAAAAAAAAAAAAAAGAATTCTTGGTCAAGCCAAGAGTCTTCTTGTAGGTTTTGTTTCAGGGGGTTTTTGATGCTGGTTTAAAAAAACATCTAGGACAATGAAAAAGAACTTGCTTGGCTACCTAGGGGCTCACTGGCGGGATCCCTCTTGTTTATGGGCTGGCCAGAGGGGCCACAAGGATTCACTGAAGAGGCTGGCCTGCAGCTGTTTTAATTCTCGTCATTTAATGGGAGACTCTGCTAGTTTCTTTCACTGCAGTGCATCCTTTATCCAAATTCAGCAGCTATTAAAATGCACACACTGTACTTTCTGAGCCTCAACCTTTTCCCCATCTGGTATTGGGTTTCTTGTTGTATTTAAAGCCTTTAAATTTCATTTAGACAGGAGAGCCCAGTGTAAAAGACAGTGTTAACCCTGTGAAATTTCCCTGGGCTTGGATTTCACCTATACCAAGTTCATGGTATTGCTGTACCGATCTTTTCTGGTCTTCCACCCTTGACGGGCACAGAATTTGAGAGCTAGAAGGGGACTTGAGCGGTCACGTAGACCAGTGGTATCCAACTCAATTACAAATGGAGCCAATGAACCATACAGAAGGATCCCTAGGGAAGCATATTAGCTTAGAAAACCATGGTTAGCATTTTCTTTATTCTATTGTATTTTTTTTATTTTGTGAAATATTTCCCAATTATATTTTAATCTGATTCACGCCCAGCATCTGCTTGATGCTTCTGATGGAGACCACACCAGGTCTCTGAAGTGAGAATAAAGGTCTCTGTCTAGAAGAATACGGTTTCACCACTTGGTATTCAGATGCCCGGGCAGTTTTTTGGGCATTGGGGATTCTGTTGGCTCACTCTGAGGAGTGAGAGGTGAAACTATGGCTCTTTGCCTGACTATCCAGTAAGAGTACCCGTATTGTAATTCTAGTTTCATTTAGATAAATTTAGTGTGAGGTGCACATATTTTGTTTTAAAACAAAATCTACATATTGATCAGAAATAAATATCACTTCATATAATATTCTCTGGAAAGTGTGGCACCCTAAGAGTGGGGAGTAGCTCACTCCTTTGCTTCATTCTTTTTCTCTATCCAGTTGACTTTCCACCTGCAGTTCGAATACATTTGCTGATCAAAATGGCAGACATTGAGTAAGTATCCACATAATCCCCCTAAAACTTTACATTCTCTTTTAGGTTTTTGCATTGCCTTAGCCTTTTTCTTTTTCAAGATTCATTTTTATTGCTTTGGATTTCTTCTCTGAACTTGACAGCCAAGACTTCCATATACCTGCTCTTGATTATTATTATATTAATATGCTATATTATACATAATGTATTATATTATTATTATTTACCTTTCTTCAGGGATTCTGAGTGGTTGAGTGAGAAATAGATTTAAGGGTATGAGTGGCCCGTGAGGCCTCAAGGGATTGGCTCACATTTTTTCTGAAAACGTGTGTGATGTTTTGCAAGTCTACTTCAGAGGAAAATGTGTGGTGGCCCTCAGAAGTGGGCAAACTACGTCAATGGATTTGGACTGAAAGGCTGCAACAGCCCACCCAACAGTGTTCCTTAGGGAGAAAAATAAACCGAAGTCTCATTTTACCACCGGGTCCAACAAACACAATTAGCCTTTCAAGGAAGGCAGGCAGGCAGTACATAAACAAACAAGTTGTATCCATCCACTGGGGCGGGACGACTAATCTAATTTACTGGGGGCTGATGGGTAATAACACATTTACATTACACATTACTTTTGAGGTCACTTTGCCTATACTATAGTGTGGTTATTGGTTTTTATTTAAGTTTCTGGCTGGATTCCTGTAATAGCAAAGCACTTAAAGGGGCCATGATGTACCAACATTCAGCATCCCTAAAATACACAATCATAATCAGCTCCTTGACCAATGTACCCATTTGAAATTCCTGGTTCCATACTGAATACATAAGATAGCCAAGAATACACTTGCTTCCTGGGAGGTAGGGTGGAGGAAACCAAAACTTTGTTCTGAAACTACGCTGATTATCTTTTTACAATGTAGTAAGAATGGCTAAAAAGTTGAATTTAGACAGTTGTTACTTAAAACCAAAGCTAAATTGGTTTAAGAGTTTTGTTTTGCTCTGCTCAGTGGCTCCTGACACAGACATTTAATTGCCTTGTCTTGTGGGGGAGGGGTGAAGCTACCAGGCCACAAGGTATAATTTTTGTCCAAAGAATGTTTCCCTGCTTCCTTTGCTCCAGACGTCAGGATCTCTAATGGGCTCTTGTTTAATTTTGGTTTGTTGTAGACACAGACTTGCTGTGGGCACAAGTGAGAAGATTCAGCTAAGTTCCCTCATCGCTGCTTTTCAAGTCACCAGAGATTTAATTGTAGCAGAAGCCTGAGCAAAACAATTTCCAAGCCCCCAGCAATGATTAGAAAACAAGACTCCTGATTCTCTTGGAGGAAAGCAGTGGCCCCCAAGCTGGAAATGGACAAGAAGTCCTGGAAATGTTGACTTTCCCCATTTGGGTAATAAGGAAGTCAAAGGACACTTGTGTGTTCTATTTGCTGCACTGTTTGGGGTGAGAATATTTAAGTCTGTTTCATGGTCTGACTGTAGTGTACCCAACTTAGTGAAGGTCTTTTTGTCCTCCAGGACTGTGATCGAGGGAGAGGAGTCCCCAAGTGTGCCCCATCTGGAGCAGTCCCAGAGAATAATGTTTGTATCTCAAGTGTAATCTGTGATAATATCTTTACTTATTGTTACTGGGTTTATGGCTGAAAATAAACTTTGTGCTTTTCTAAGACTGACCTTTAATACACTACCAACAAAGGACAGGCAACATCACGTGACTTTAAAAAAACTGACTTTTATTTCTCATCCTTGAATCGTAAAAGTCACAAGCAGCTTCCTAATTGTAGTGTAGAAAGGAAGGAAAAGGATTTAAAATACAACTGGTGTTTACATTATTCCTCATGGTACCAGTGGCTGTATGAAGATCACTTGTGAACATGGGACACCTGAAATATTAGTCACATAAATTTTAGTCTTACGTGCTCAAGATACTGCTTCAATGATAATCTTGCTGCATTTCATATTCTAAGGAATTAGTAAATTAGATGGCTCACTTATTGATAAAAGTTCTCCTTAACTCAACAGTGGATGTTGACTTGGGTCCTTAATAGAAGGGTCTTAGATCTTGTGAACTTTGGTAGCATAAACTTTCAACAGATAGAAGATGGAATCAATTCTTTGTCAGCCAAAAGAAATTCCGTGATTCCTCATCAGAAGCCACAGGGGAGGGGGAAGTGTCGATTCCACTTTGTACTCCCTACCTAGTAAAGCCTCTCACGATACATTCTGTGAAATAAGGGCTTCCCGTTTTATTAAGACTACTTAGGAAGTGGCCTCCACTATCTTCCTCTTATGCCTCATCACAGTATGAAGGTGACTGTGCCGCAGGGCACAAGCCCCGCTCTTGGAGAGCTTGTCAGCCCCTCCACGAAGCTGCAGAAGGGGTACCAGTTAGTGCTGGTGGCAGGAAGATCAATGCAGCTCCATGAAGTACTGAAGCCTCTTGGGAGGTGATGAATATACTTGGGTCCTTGGATGGCAGGATAGAAACATCACCCCTGTTTAAAATAAACCTTTTTTTTTTTCATGATTCCCCACACAATAAAGCCGTGGCTTCGCTTCCCTCTCTCAGCAGTCATGTTTCCCACATCACAGATCTGGAGCAGAAAGGCTCTCAGAGGACTTCTCTTCTAGGAGAGGAGGAAACCGAGACCCCAGGAGGTGAAGTGAGCCCAAGGCCACATGGACCACACAGTGTCAGAGGCAGAATATGATCCCAGGTCTCTCGACTTGAGGCTGTACTCTCTCCTCCAAACTAGGCATTAATGGTCCATCCCTCTGATGAAAGGGCCCTAAAGAGACTAATGTAGTAGTATGCCAGCATTCTACCGAAACAATGAATACAGATAAAATGGTGGGTCTAAGGAAAACAATGTGTCATTTCCTTAAAAAGAAATGCAAATATTACAGTTTAAAAGGTCTTGAAGAATTTGGAATCAAGGATTAGATTAGGTTGTAAGCTCCTTGAGGGCAGGGACTGCCTGGCACATAGCAGGTGCTTACTGTTTATTGATTAACTGATTGGAGGAAAAACCTGAACCTCAAAGTTATTTTCATTTGGGGAGGCAGGGTTGGAAATTGAGTTAAGCAGCAAAGACTGATCTCATACATATATCATAAAAATACCAGTTGAAACAATGAAAAACCAGATGCCTCCATACAGCTATGAAGTTTGATGTACAGCTGTTGCGGTTATGTCATGGTTTTCATCTACCATTGAGAAACACAAAATTGTACCTTAAACAACTTATGTTCAGAAAGCACAAATAAATATGTTGTTAATGGTAAACCACGGAAAAACCAGTAGCAAGGACAAGAGTCATGCAATTAGAAATGCACCCTTACTGTAATCTTAACACCGTTTCCTCCTTTACATGCACACCACCATTTTAAAAGCCAATTATGATGTCTTCATCAGTCCACACCACACCCTTTGATTTAAATAGCCTGTTCATTCAGCTAAGCTCTGATGATCACTCATACCCAAGGACCACCCCCCCCCCCCCCCCCCCCCCCCCCCCACCCCTGTCTTGTTTGTCAAAGTCAAAAGCAGAGGAAAAACAATGACAAACTTGACTTTATAAATTAAAAGTATTTGCACTTGGCTAAACAAAGGCATGGTCCCTGATACTCTGAACCAAGAGCAAGAGGACAATTGAAATGTTTAGCTACCACTGCTTTTAAGGATTCAGCTGAGACAAGTGTTGGGCAGCAGTCCAATTTCCCAATGAGGGAGATTATCTTTACTTTATCACTAAAGAGAGCTCAAGGCCCAGTTACTTTTACAAACAAAACAACATTATTAACTGCACTTCAAATCAAGACACAGAGAGAATTAAACTGTGCTGTTAATAAGTAGACAACTTAAACTAAGGCTCTGGAGCCATGGCAATAGAACCGCCTCCTCTAATTTCGAACATTATGGATAAAAAGGTCACTGACCAGTCCACCAGGATCTTTTTTCCCTGCTACAGTCTATCAACTGCATGTTTACAATCCAAAACAATTCTGCTTGAAGAGGAATCACAGTTTATAAGCCCATCTTGCTTCCATTCTATGACTTCAGCACCACCTTTGCCAGAAAGGTTAATCCTGTTACTAGGAGGTTCTCTTTCTGTCTTTTGAGCAGAGCCGAGGGGCCTGGCTCAGAAGGTCCTGTATGTGAGAAACTCTTTCATTTTCTTGGGTATTGGCAGTGCTAAGACTTGGTAAGTTGTGAGGAAACTCCGAAGGGCTTTCCGACATAAGTGCTTCAGTGATGATAGGACCCTGGGTGCTGTCCAGAACTGGACGTGGCCATCTCTTGTCCTGAAAGGAAACAAAAACCACGGCGCTAAGAATTTTTCAAGCCTCTAAGCAGGAATAACATTGACTGCATGTAAAAAAGGCAGATTCGAATTCCAATTTGGGAAACAGCATGATAGCCAAATGCAAAAAGTCTGCACTAGAATCTGTAGCATGGCACAATCCTCGTTAATGTATCTGTGTTCCAATGACCATATGTCTATCAATATAGCCAATCCCAAAAACCTGGGTTACTGAACCAGCAGTAAGCAGGAAGATGGCCACCAAATGAATTAAGAAAGTTACTTCTGGCTAGACTAAATCAGGGGTGGGGAACATACGGCCTTCAGGTGGCCTTCGAGGTCCTTAAGTGAGGCCTTTTGACCGAATCCAAATTTTACAGAACAAGTCACTGTAAACACTGTTCTGTTAACAGTGGCCAGTTCTGTAAAATTGGGATTCAGTCAGAGGACTGCACTTAAGGACCTAGGAGGCTACAGATCCCCTACCACTGCTCTAAATCCTAAGTTTCCACGTAACTCTATGTCATTTTATAATATTGTGGCCTTTCAGTAGGAGGACATACAACTGTCTACCACCACTATCACTTATACCACTATTAAGTCTTCCAGGTAAAAAAGAAGTTAATTAATTAGGTAATGTGGCAGAAAAGCAAATATAATCTTATATACTGACATCTCACTACATTAAACTAAAATTAATTCATCCAGAGCCCACATATGCACACCCTCCAATGAGGCAGCTCACAACCCCTCTGGTACCTTCAAAGATGATCTTTGAGTTGCTGAGGCTGATATTCTGCTATGGATCTCCTCCCCCCCGCATCTGATAAGAAGTCCCCTCCTTCATTTCTTTCCATCATAAGCCACAGAGCTACATAGGGTGCTCCGTAAAAACAGCCACCCCATCTGTTCAAGTCAGAGATATACACACCCCGTGGCAATAATTCCACCATGTGGAAAAAATGTGCAGCAAAGACCATTGGTCATAGGAGCGAATGCAACTGGAGTTCTCAGTTCCAAAGCCCAGATCCTGAGCAGTCTAAATGAAAGAAAAATAGAAGGTTATTACTTAGTGACTAAGTGAGATTAAACTGTAGACACAGAATTGAAGATGTGTGCAGACTCCCTCAGGGGTAATCCACCCGTTACCTGTCATCTGCCACTGTAGCAAGGTATAAGCCTTCTGGAGAGAAGCGCACTGATCTCAGCGAGCTGGCGTGGACATCACGGGTATAATCCAACTGAGAGTCTAACACATGCCTGCAGGGAGGGAAAGAACCAGGATGCGCTGGAGTTGTGATTGACCCTTCTCTTCACTTCCTCCCGTCAAACAGGCAAACTTTCCAAGTGAAAATCCCGAGCTGTGGTCCGAAAAAGGACAGACACACACCTGGCGTCTGTCCTAACAGAAAAGGCACAGACAAATTCTAACAAGCCGACAGTGTTCCACCTGGGTTAAGATATGAACGTTTTGGTAAAGGACACATTTCCTTATGTAAATTGTGTCAAAGATCACATTTCCACTGAATAACCCTACACAACTATCTTCTACCCCAACTATGATGGTAACAATTACATTGTGAACCATATTTGTTATGTAAAATAGAAAAAAAAAGTCAATCCTAAGTTTTCAGGAACACCCCAATTCATTTTGGAAACCATGGTTTGAGCTCAGAAAACCCTACTTTGCTAGTGAACATCTTAAAACTCTGCCGCTCCCCAACGACAACTCTAAAGTCGGGCAGGCCCGTCCAAACAGAGATGGCCAGAGAGCTCACGAGCGACGCCCCGCCACACACACACCCCTGATGCAGAGAAGCGTTCATGAAACATCTTTCTCCCCGAGGGTTTCTCTGCTCGTCCCATCCCTTGCCTCAGACCACAAGGTTCACAAGCAGGCTCCAAAGCAGGTCTCACATCATCCACCCCACTGGGAAGTTTTGAGGAGGGATGCGGTCCTTACTGAAGGGTCCTCAGTTTCTCTCCAGTGTAGGGATCCCACATGATGACACTGGTGTCATAGGAAGCTGTGACAAGCAGGGCAGAGTCAGGGGAGAAGTCACAAGAAACCACACTGCTCTGATGCCCCTCCAGCTTCCTGATTAATGTGTAGGACCGCATGCTCCAGAGAAGAACCTGAAAAAAAGAGCATCATTCAGTTGCAGACAAGAATGGGGAAGGGCTTTCACAGAAAAGACAGAGGCTCCCCATCGCTCTCCCCTTGGCCTCAGGAAGACAGGTTAATCAAGCCAATGGCTTTGAATCCCTGGCACCCACCACCTATCCAGGTTACAATCTCCAAGGGCTGAGTAGAGCTGGCTTCAGCAAATCGAACCTTGGTGAGGGCTAAGCCCACCAAAGTCCTACTGATTCTGATGGCAGAAGCAGAACAGTATGTTCTCACTGTGTCAAAGGCACAGGATTTTACCTTTCTCCCTAGTGGTCCAGAGTCCTCTGGCAGCCCTGGCACCCTGTAAAGCCAAACCTGACTCCAGCTGTTCATGGCCCATGGGGGATGGTTCTGCAATCAGCGTGCTAAGCTAAACCTTAGGAGTAGCACTGAACCAAAGTGGGGCTGGGGGGAGTCTCCCTCTCCCGAAAATCTGAGTTATCAGCCAACACAGCTCTGGTCTTCCCCAAGCCAGCTGTGTGAGTATGCCACAAGACTCCATACAAATGCAGCATTAAAACAAAACCAAACCACCCCCAAACCCAAACCTGATTTTCTTTCTGATGGGTCTCCCATCACTGACTTGCCTATGTAAAGTTTCCGAGCCAAGCTAAAAGAGCACTTCATTACTTTATCACATAAAACATCCATTAAAGAGTGTTTCTGGACCTGGATCCTATTAGTGAACTGTAACCACATCAAGTGAAATGGAAAAGATGGGCTCACATCCACGTCCTCACTTTAAACTCTGAGCCCCTATGTAAACATTTCGGAGAGCTCGCTTCTGTTAAAATGCCAAACAAAGAGCTCTCCTTTGGAGAAAGGCTCAGCTTTACTCCCTTCACCTAACACCAGGTGCCTCCTACATGCAGGGACTTCCCCTTTAGACCCTGGCCAGGAGGCCTAAGGCAGCTGTCAAGGCACAGAGGCCAGCAGGCAGGCCACAAAAACATGTGGCCCTGTGCCTTTCGTGACCCAGTTTGTCTCTTCGCCAGCCCACAAAAGAGCAGCGGCAGACCCCTATTCTGGCTGACCTCAGGCAGTGGCGGAACAACTCCTAACACTGGCGACTTACAGACTTCTCTCCTGCTGCAGAACACAGCATGCTGCAGTCTGGGGAGATGGAACAGCAATAAACCCACTGCAGATGGCCAGACAGCACCTGGATCTGTTTGCCTGTCAGAGAAAGAGAAGCAAACAGTGACGAGGTTGTGGGGGAGACTGGAAATGGCGACAGGAGCATCCGGGGCTCCACACCCTCATCACAGCCAGCCCAACCTCCACCGACAGAACGGGAGATTCTTAATACTGTTAAATCTGGTCACACGTTCAGTTAAGTCACCAGAAAACATGAAAAGTAGGCCAAATGCTCCCACAGGGAATCACAGACACATTTTGCAGAGAGCTGTGGAGCAAAACGTGCTTTTCAAGGCCACCAGTCTTTCCTTCACAAGTAACCTCCGATGGCTGCCCCGTTCAGAATGTTTCTTTACTCCTTACTTCACAAAGCCCTTAACAGAGTAGTTTCTCACTGCTCTAAAAATCACGTTCAAATCCCAGACTCTAAATGTTTCATTATTAAGTCCCCTTTTTACTGGTAAATAACACCGTTTTTAACTGGATTATGAAAAATTCGTTAAAAATTGTGTATGGCCATAACACATTTTAACCTTCAAGTTATAAGATCAAGTTATCAATTCCTCAGAAAGATGACATAGATGAATATGCTTATGCAACTTCCCTCAGAGGAGTGATAAAGGAGACTGTATAACCGTGGAAGAATCACTGACTTCACTATAGTTTTTCAAAGAAAAACAATTAATTCAAGACACTCCTCCTCCCCCATTCCCCAGGAGGTCCTTGACCACCCCTCCCCCCTTGGCCCTGTAGGCCCTGCTCTGCCTGAGGCCACACGTCACCCTCCAGCCACCACGCATTCCTCAAAGATCTCCCTTCCTCACCCTGACACCCCCTTGGTCCAAAGCTTCGAGAGCTTTCCCACACTGCTTACATAAAAGCTACTGCTCCTCCTCACTCTGACCCATGTGGAGTCTGGGGATGCAGCTCACATATCTCTGCTCACACTGCTTATGTGTGCCTAACCTCTGGCAAGTTGCTGACCTCCCCTGGGTCTCAGTTTCCTCAGGTTTTTTTTTTTGGTTTTGTTTTGTTTTGTTTTTTGGTGAGGTAATTGGGGTTAAGTGACTTGCCTAGAGTCACACAGCCAATGTCAAGTGTCTGAGGCCAGATTTGAACTCAGGTCCTCTTGACTCCAGGGCCAGTGCTCTATCCACTACGCCACCTAGCTGCCCCTCAGTTTCCTCATTTTTAAAGAAAAGTGGTTGAACCCAGTGGTTTCTAATCTCTCAATCTGGTCCTCAAAATCCAAGATTACTCTCCCAGAATGCCACTTTAAATATATACTTACCCTTCTGCACTCCCTGTCTCAGAAAACTAAATTTATTCTTGACTTGTACAGAATGCCAGCCTTACCATCCATTCTGACAACATTCTGAATTTTCATTCTACCTGGAGGCCTCACCAGGATCTTCATAATGTTTTGGGACACTTTTAAACTTAAATAACTAAAGTTGTATGATAGGAATATATAGAAATAGCATTTAAATGAAAATGTACTGAAAACTTAGAACAACTCTATCACACAGACAAAATGCATTATTTCCAATCCGTTTGAAACCAAAATGGCTGTGACAAAAGGTAACCTGGAATCGGGATTTTATAAACAAAAGAAAAATACAATTCACTCTTAAACGGCATTTACAGTCTGCATCTAAAGAACCAACCACCAGAATCATTCCAGTTTTAAAACTGCACGAGGCCTTTCTCCTGAGGCCTACCATCAGCGTCTCATTTGTCCCAAGTTTCTAACAGCTGCCTGTTTTAAATTATGAAGGGCAGCGCCTCCCACAGTGCCGAGCACGAGGCCACCCACAGCATCAGGTGGTTTTTCACAGCACTCCCCTTGCCTTCCCTGGTTTTGTGATAGAGCAGCAGGAACCTTTTAATGGTGCAGTGAAGAAAGACAGTCACCTGGCCACAAGTGGGAAGCCAGAGCCTCGGCTCTGCCAGGAATACCTGGGGGAGGGGGAGGAGTGTGCTTCCACTCAGTTCTCTGCCCCTCACAGCACCACCTCTTCCTTCCCCCACCACTACTCCTTTGGGGAAGGAAAGAGCATGCAAATATATGTTTTTATAACGTTCTCCTTTCAACTAAGGACCAACACTGATAGCTCCCTCTATGGAACCTTGTTCTAGGCATAATTCCCTAAAAAGATGAAACCCTTTATCCAAGGAAAATTACGCTAAGCTTGGAATGCACTTCAAGGAGTTTAATGGTTTCTTTTTTTTTAAATATCTATTTCTAATAAGAAACATAAGCCCTGGGTCCAGCACAGTCATTATTATCAAGGATCTAAAAGAGATTTAGATCCAGATAATATATTTTTCCATTTCGCAGATGGAAAAATGGCCAGCATTTTCTTATGAACTCAGGGAGCTCCATCACATCCATACCATCTTTATTTAGGTCCCAAATTCGAAGAGTTTTATCCCGTGATGCAGAAACCAAAATCAAGTTCCCACTGGGCGTGAAGCTCAGATCTCTCACCACATCCTGGTGGCCAGACAGATTCAAAAGCAGTCGCCCTAAGGACAGAAACATGGGCATTCAGTCAATTGCGCTGGGGGTGTGACTGGCAGCATTTTATTATAGACGGCGAGTAAGAAGGTCACTGCTACAACTATAGGCAAACCAGCAGCCAGGGCCCCCTAGAAATGGGTCAGCCCCCTGCCTGTGGCCTCAGTCTTCCCCATGGGCTTCCTACCTACCTGTCTGCACCTCCCAAATTTTGATCTGCCCGTCATTGAGTCCTGTAGCAAGAATAAGGCAAGAGAAATCCAGTGCTTGGGGGCAGACTCGTGCCCAGAGCTTCCTACTGGGTGGTGACGGCCACGGGCTGAAGGCCAAACCCCACACAATCTGACCACAGTCCAGCGTCTTCTCCTTTGGACTGCCTCGCCCCTTGGGATCTGTTTTGCTGCTTCGGCTTTTAGGCTCAAACCCTCTGGGGATGCTGCAGGAAGAAGCAATTTCTTAATGATTCCTTACTTTTGACATTAGAATTTCTAAATATTTAAAGTTACACGAGAACAAGTGGGCTGGATGACTCTTCCTTTTCACTCCTTCTGAGAGTTTTACTGACCTTTGCTCACCTCCATTCACCACAGCCTACAGGAAGGCCTGGGCCAGAGGTGGAGAACCTTCGGCCTCGAGGCCACATGTGGCCTTCTAGGGCCTTGGGTCCGACCTTTTGATGAGTCCAAGTTTTACAGAACAAATCCTTTTACAAAGGGGATTTGTTCTCTGAAGTTTGGAGTCAGTCAAAGAACTGCACTTGAGGACCTAGAGGGCCACATGTGGCCTCGAGGCCGCAGGTTCCCCACCCCTGGCCTGGGCTAAGTCTAGCCATGTCACCAAATAAGTCCCTGTCCAAGCAGCTCTCTGGAGTCGGGAGTGTGGAAAGGAAAAATGCAGTTTTCTTTTCCCAAGGAAAAGCTGTTTGACAGACACTCTGGGCCTGGATATGGAGCTACTCTACTCCACAGGGAACAAGCTAGACCTAGTGGGGATTTGAAGAGGAAACCTCTGGACTCGTTCTTTATATATGGAAGTGTTTCTTTTGTTGTATTACACAAATCATGACAAAAAATAAAAATGAAGAATAAGTTTCTAATCGGGCTTAGAAAGACCCAAAAACAGAAAATTCTGTCCTTGCTAATGCAGCTGATATGGCAAATGTTAACTTCCTCTCTTTTCTCCACCGTGCTAATAAATGAACGTCTTTCACTTGACTTCTCTATGATAGAGTCTAACCGGGGGCATGGCCAATGAAGACAGTTTTACCCTAGAGCTACAGAGATTACAGAACATTCTAGAGATAAAAGGGACTCCAAAGGTCAGATGACTTGCCCAGGGTTGCAATGCTAGTCAGTGACAGAACTAGAACCAGAACCCAGGCCTGTTTCCCAATCTAGTGTTCTGTAGGACACATCATCTCACATAAAAGACCACGACCAAGCAAAAACACAAACTATGTGAAACCAGTTTCCCCAGGTTTTAATCTAAACCTGCTGAAGTTGATTTCTGCTTCCATTCTCAAATCCAAGAACAGAGAACTTCCAAAACTTCCCCCAACCAGGGGGACAGAATCCATACCCCACCGAAATGAGCCCTGGGGCAGAGCTGGGCTGGCCTGAGGACTGGAGCCTCAGTACTTCAAACATGTCTCACCCCATAGCTACAACCTGGACCATCAGGCAGACGCCAAGACTCGTCACATGCCTAGACAGCTTTCTCCCTCCAGTCAAAGACCCTCTGAACTTTCCCCAACCAGGAGAAGATAATCTACTGTGGAGTGGCCTCTGGGGCAAAGCTAGCCAGGTTCAGGTGTGGAGGTCAAGCCCAGGATTCCACGGAGCATTGAACTGACCAAGAAGAGTAAGACTTAGAAACAGAACTCCGCCATCTGTCCTCCCTCCATGCTCTCCACCCGGCCCTTCTATCTCTTGCTTAGGGATTGAGAATCCAATCCACATACAGTTACTATAAAGGGACTGACAATCCACCGTCCTAGGCCCCACTTAGAATTCAAGAGTTACAGATTACTGAGGTAGATATTCCCTTCCTTGACCACTACACCATGTGCTTTCATACCCATCAGTGCCGACCCCATCCTCCCTCTGTCCCTATCCTACTCTCCCCCTACCCTCTCACTGTGCTCCCTGGACCCTTCATATTAGCCCTGTGCCCTACACCCAGAAAATAATTGATGTAGATTTTGTATTTTATTTCCTATGTGCACACTGTTTCTCCCCAATAGAATGTAAGCTCCTTGAGGGCAGGAAACATTTCTTTGGTTTTTGTTTTTATATCCCCAGCACCCATCAAATAGTGACAAACTCAATAAATGTTTGTCAATTGAATATTAACTCTTTATTTACATGGACAGAATCGACACTGAAAAACATCAAGAAGTTTAGAGTTTATCTCTGTGTATCCTGCGACCCTGAAAATTTCAACATTTCGGAGGATCATGAGGACACACAGGTGGTCAAACTGATCTGAACCCATCCTTCCACTCCTCATTCTGCTACAGTGAGGCTCAGTGCCTCATAAGAGTTTCAGGTCCAGTTATCTTAAAGTATGTCTCCTATTTCTATGCAGAGATTCCTCTCTTCAGGCAAAAACCATGTTCCTGAAAACCCTCACATAAATCAAATTTTATAAACTGTACAATCTAAACGTACTCAGAGAAATACTTCTCTGGACCTCATTTTCCTCATCTGTAAAACAAGGAAGTTAGATTATATGATCTCTAACATACCTTCCTGCCCAAAAAATCTGTGATCTTGCCATTTAAAGAATCACGTGGTGAATTCTTCTATAAAGTAAGCAAATACTAATTTGCTGAACTAACTTTTTATCTGTCCAGATTTTCACCTATCATCTCCATTCAAAGAGGATATACCTGTGGCTATGTTCTTACAAGGAAATCACAGCCCATTCCCATTTGCCCTCATTTAACTTCAAGACTTTCTTAGAGAAAGAGACCAAAATCTCCATTTGCAGAAGTTAGCTGGCTTGCCCACGGATACACAGCTAAGAAGTGAGAAGAGCTAGAATTAGAGCCCAATTCTCTCAAATCTTAATTTGATATTTTTTCCTCTAACCTAGACTTAGCAATAAGTGGCTAATTTTGAGAGGGAAAGGAACAGAAACAAAAGACTTATTTTGGAAATAAGTTTTATGGAAACAAAAGCTTCTAAAGTTCCATGTGTAAAAGCCACACAAACAGCTGGCTCTCAGGATCAGGACTACTGCAGAGAGCAAGCCAGCCCAGGCAAAATCAGTGACCCAGAAAGAGGGGCATTTGGCCTAGGAGGAGTTCAAGGAATTCAACTGTAGAATCTACTGATTCCATAACACTTACTAGCAACTTTTGACTTCCTGGTTTCTGAATCTGGCCAACATCAAAACTGTTAGTACTTTAACATGGTACAACAATACACTGAAAAATGTTAGCTCTGAAGCCTGAACCCTGAGTTCAAATACCATCCCTCTGACTTCCTAACTGTTTGACCATACCTCCTCTGAGACTCAGTTTCCTCATCCACAATAAGATGAGGGAGTCAATCAAGAAGACTTCTGAGGTCCCACTCAACTCTAAATCTAGGACCTACAAAAACAGCCTTATGTACTTAGCATCAAAAACTGATTAATTATACCTAAGGATGCCATGCAAATAATAGGTACATAATGGGTGTTTGTGCAAATGCTTAATATGGTTATATGGGATATTAATTCTCCCTCCCCATCACTGTTCCCAATTTTTGGGCCATTTTTCAGCCCCCCCCCCAGTTCCACAGGGAATACATAAGAAAGGATTCCTTTTTAAAGGTTTAAAGGGGACATGCGTTTACAAATCATCAAAACCAACCACTCTAGTATTTTGAAAAGCCCTTCCCTTCTAGGAGAGGATGGCATACTACTTACAACTGTTCCTCAAGGGGCCATGGAATCAGCTTAACAATACAGTGTCCTTGAGACCAGGCAAACCAGGAACCATCAGGGGAAAAAGCAACACTCCAGGTCTCACAACTGGATTTCCAATCAAACTGGTGCGGGCGCCCTGGCTTCAGCTCAGCCAGCAGCAAAGGAACCTCTGGGGAAGAAAATGGCATCATGATTGAAATACTCTCACTTCTAACCAATGCTGTATTTGAACCTGGAGCCCCAAAGAACACATTCTCACTGCCTAACTGGCTCAGAAATTCTATAAATATCCTGCTTCCTTCATGGGCTCTTCTATTTCAATGTCCCACAGCAATAAACAGGAGCCACAAATCACATTCCATCCCCATTACTCAAACTCTGGCCAGCGCAGACTACCAGTTAGCCATGACTTAACCTTTGTACATGGCACCTCTGTACAAGTGCCTATTACTAATGAATGAATGCCAAATGATTCCTTTACCTAAGAACGCCAAAAAGGGGAAAACAGCAGGGGAAAAACATGAAGCACTAGAATGTTAAGCATGTTGCAGACTTCAAGACCCTGGAAAAACAAACAGAAAGGCCTTCTCATGTCGTTATTCCAATCACGGTCCTGAAGAGAACCAGGGACCTGTGACATCTGTAATCAATAAAAAAGCACAAAGACACGGAGGAAAGGCCTAAGTGAATCTCGAGTTCCCATACTGCCTCGGCTTCTTCAGCACTCAGGAAGTTGAAATGGGAGTATGGCCACTTTTACTGTACATTCCACACCGCTCCTAGGCGATCACAGGACTACAGAAGTGAAAGTCGAACCTCCTCATTTGGCAGATAAACCCCATGGACCTGAATGCCAGCAGGGCAACAGCTACTCCTAGGTAACATATAAGCTGGCCATACACCATGAAAGTTGACAATGCTAGCACCATCCTAGGTGGTCACAGTCAAAGGCAAAGCATCCAGAATGAGGGAAGGAAGGGTTCCAGAATATTTCTGGCCCAGTTGAGGCCACTTCTGGAATGTGTCCAGTCCAGTTCTGGAAACCATATTTTAGGAAATGCAGGGACAAGGTGGAGCTTCTACAGATTACAATTACAATGGTTAGAGGACTTAGGAACATGCCAAATGAGAACTGTATGATATGTGGTAGTTCTCATCTGGAGGTGACTGGGAAGAAACATAACAGTTATCAAGGGTCTGAAGGATTATTATGTCAGAAAAGGAAGTAGCCTTATTCTGCTTGGTCTCAAAGGCAGAACAAAGATCAAAGGGGAAAGCTGCCAAGATAAAGATTTAGGATGATTAGGAAGAATTTCTTAACAATGAAAGCTCTGCTAAGTGGAATGGGCTGTCTTTTTAGAAGCTGAATTTGCTCTCATTGGAGGTCTTAACAATAGCTAGCAATCATAGAGCACTGAGGTTTGCAAAGCACTTTACATGGTATTTCATTTAATCCTCACAACAAACTTGTAAGGCAGCTATCACTTCCCCCATTTTACATATAAGGAAACAGGTCGAGAGAGGGCCTCTACCCAGGATCACAGAGCTAGTAAGGGTCTGGGGCAGGATTTGAACTCAGGTCTTCCTGACTCCTGATCCTTACTACCAAGCAGAATGTAGATGACTGTTCATTGGGGATGTCATAGAAGGGCCTCTTGGTCAGGTCTGGCCTGGACTAACAGGCCTCCTCAGTTCCTTCTAGCTCAGACTCTGATCTGGAAACACAGGCTCTCAAATTTAAAATTCAGCCTGCTCCTTATACTTGTACTACAATTCATACAGTTAATGGTTCAACCTTTACCTGATGTTGACTTAATTTATCTGACTTCAGTGTTTCCAAAGACCTGTGACTCAGTTAGCACAGGCATTCCCCGTACAGCCGAGCGATCTGGTGATAAAAGCTCTGGACTTGGAGTAGTAAGATATGGGTTCAAAACCCAGCTCTGCTACATAAAACTTGTACCACTCTGAGAAAGTCCATTCTCTCTGAGCCCCGGTTTCTTCATCTGTAAATCAAGAGGACTGGACTACATGACATCTAAGGGCCCTCTCCGCTCTGAACTTGGACTCCTCCAAATATGTGGATGATTTTCATGAATGGCCACAGCCAAAAAATGCATTGCCCAATAGCTAACATTCTCATGATGGAACCGAACAAGGCTGTCACAAGCCAAAACTTGAAGGCTCTCAAGTTTGGAAGGGCCTCCCAGAGTCCACTGGCAGAGACTTTTAAACAGGGAACTGGCCAGGATGTAGCAGAAAAAGGAGAAGAGGTGGGGTCTAAAGGCCTTAGTCTGAGTCACAGCTCTCCTCCCACTGAATGCCCGCCCTACATGACCTTGGCTAAGTAACTCCACCTCATCACAAAATGGGGGAGGGAGCTCAAAATCTCAGGACTCCTTACACTACGGATTATATCTCCACACTACAATAAGGCGTCAGGGCACAACCTTAGTGGAGGGGTACAAGATTATTAAATGTATGTGCATATGTGTGTGTATATCTTCACATATATGTAATTTAGTAAATTCACAATTTTTGACCTATATGGCTACTTGTTTATAATGTAAAAATACGCATATAATACAGAGCTTATCTCTCACTTTATATAAGAGGTGTATACCTAAAAAATTATATTGAAAGGGAATTTTGACAAATCAAATTTTATAGGTACTAAGGGAAATCACAATTTATAAGTAGCCTATGAATTCTTTTGCAAAGAGAATCTTTTTTTTAAGTAAATCCAGGTTTTAATATTGATTCACTTAAAGATATATACATTGTGTATACAGACATGTTCACTATGTGTCACATCTGAACTTTTATTTTATTTACTCATCTGTATATGCAGAATACACTCAGAAACAAATGAAAAGAGAATAAAATGAGTAATTCACTGGACAACATATATCTCAAACATGCATATTTTGTTGAGCGTTTTTTGGAACAACTCCGTTTTCTTCAGTCTGATAATTTACAAACGCTTCTTTCTCCAAATGATATTATATCCACTCTTTACATAATGCCTTATTATGTACTCACTAACAGTGGTGTAACAAACATCAGCCAATCTGGGGGAGGATCTCTGTTCAATACTGGCCTAACCCCTCCCTAGTCAACCTCCCAGAAAAAGCTATCTACACTCATTGTCTATGCTTCCTCGGCCCTCACCTCTTAACTCTTTTCAAACTGGCTTCCAACCTCATTACTCAACTCTAAAGTTAATTCTCTAGAGTTAACAGTGATCTCTTAATTGCAAAATTGGTTGTCTTTTTTCAGTCCTAATCTTTCTTGACCTTCACCTCTCTGCTGCATTTGACACCACTAACCAAGCTCTCTCCTCTCTGAGCTTTCATAACAATCCTCTCTCCAGGTGCTCCCCTTACCCATCAAACCAGCCCTTCTCAGTCTCCTTCCCTGAATCTTTATCCATATCAATGTCTTAACTGTGGGTATCCCCCAAGGCTCTGTCCTAGTCTTTACACCAGTTCTCTATGCTATGATGAGCACCCAGGGAATGAGGTTTAATTATCATCTCAATGTCAATGACCTCCAGATCTATACAGCCAGTCCCAGTCTCTCCCTAAGCTTCAGACCAGCAACTCCAATTGTCTATTAAAAATTTCTAACTCCATGTCCCAGAGTCATCTAAAATACATGTCCAAAAGAGAATCTATCTTTCCCCACTAACCTATGCTTCTCCCAAAATTCTCCATGTTTATCCAAAGCATCACCACTCTTCCAGTGTCCCAGGTTCATAACCTGGAGGTTATAATAGACTCCTCATTTCCTCTGTCTTACCCCATATGGACAATCAGTTGCCCAATCCTGTCATTTCTATTTCCACAGTATCTCCTCCATCCCACCCCTTCTCTCTACTCACAGAGCTACTACCTTCCAGCTCTATGATCCAGTCTAACCGTAGTTACTAGGAAAGAAGACTGTCACATCATAGAACTTAAAAATACAATAAACATAACAAGAGACCTTGGATTTGATGAAACTATTCCGGAAAAACTCATTTCCTTGGAAAGGCTATGTCAGCATCAGTGTTAAAAATAAGTACTAGAGTCTGTTTGGATGATCAGGTCAAGTGAACAAATGCAAGGATGCAAGGCACTGAGCTTGATACAAAGTAAGAGTCCACTGTCCTCTAGGACCTTAAGGAGGCTCATAATGCACCCTGCTGTCAACAATGTTAAGATCTCTTGCCATCCCTTTGTTCTGATTAAAAAGAAAAATGAACTAGAATCTCTGTTATCTTTACAAGCTCCCACCATCTCTGCCCACAAAATCATCAGGGATAGTATAAGATCCTAGACGCAGTAAAAGAAACAAGTTCTTATAAAGCTAGATTCACTTTTTTTTTTGAAAATCAAATGGGAGTCGTGAATCAGTGATTTGGAATTATGCAAATAAAGGGACTAAAGTGTCCACACCTTTGGATCCCTCTGACCCCCAGATTCCACTACAAGGCTTGTGTACCAAGAATGTCATTGAAAAGAAGTCCCCATAGACACCAAAGTATTCATAGCAGCAAATGAATGTAATGGAATATGACTTTGCTATAAGAAATGATGTGTACGATGAATACAGAGAATCATGGAAAGATTTACATGAACTGACTCAGTGAAGTCAGCAGAGTGTAAAAAGTCAAGAAAACAATACACACAATGACAACAACGTAAATGGAAAGTACCATACAAAACAAGTCAAATGTGAATGCTGCAAAATTACAAAAGAACAAGCCCTGCTTGAAAGATATGAAAAAACACCCTCAACTCCATCCCTTGTGGAGGTGGGAGGTGTAGTGTGGCAAATGGCTATTTTCAGGATTTTCTGATGTATTGATCAGATATGCTCTTTTCCCCCTTTTTTGTGTTTAAAAATACAATTTCTTATATGAGATGGTTCTCTGTGAGGTGGAAGGAATCTAGAGGAAATTAGGGTGATTATGGTTTAAAAAAAAAAGTGACTTCAATAAAAATGTATTTTAAGAAAAAAGAGAAATTCAAGGAGAAGCTGTCAAATGCAACATTCTACCTGGCTGCATCTAATGCTAAGGGCCAGGGCAAAAACAAAAAAAAGTCTCATCAGTTAAGCATTAAATAAAAAGAAAACCATCAGATAACCCAGACAGGAAAGTTTGCAGAACTACCACCACAAATTTCCCTGAATACTTACCTCACTTTGCAAACAAAGAAAATGCCATCTCCCAAATTAAAAAAGCAACAACACCCCAGGGGAAATGCCCTGACGGAAAATCAACAAATCTACCTGCAATCCCTATTTTTAATCAAATCACTTTGTGTTTGTAGTCCTAGAAGCACACAAGTGGTTAGAATTCTCCATCTTCCTTCCCCCTAAAAACCCAACTCTATCTAGTTCAATCCTATTTTCATTAGAATAACAAAATATTCTGGAATAATGCTGTCACCACCAACTTTCATTCATTCAAACATTTATTAAGCACCTACTATTGTGCCTGGTACAATGCTAAGCACTAAAGAAACAAAAGACAGTTCCTGTCCTCAAAGAGTTTACAACCTAATAGGGGAGATGCAAACATGCAAACAAACATACATAAAAGCAAGCTAGAGACAGGATAAATAGGACATAATTAAAAGAAAGAAAACACTGGAATTAAGAGGGGTTAGGGGGGCAGCTAGGTTGCACAGTGGATAGAGCACTGGCCCTGGAGTAGGGAGGACCTGAGTTCAAATCTGGCCTCAGACACTTAACACTTACTAGCTGTGTAACTCTGGGCAAGTCACTTGACCTCAATTGCCTGGGCCCTGGGGCCTGGGGCCTGGGGCCTGGGGGGAGGGGAGAGAAGAGGGATTAGGGAAGGCTTCCTCTCGAAGGTGAGATTTTAGTTGGAACTTAAAGGCAACAGACTGGATATCTGGGGAAGAGTGGAGAAGAGTTGGAAAGAACAAGGCGTCCAGGATGACACCTAGGTTTCCAGCCCAGGTGACTAAACAGTATAATTTAACAGTTCTCAGAGTATGATCCAAGGACCTCTCTGGGAGTCCCCAAGACACTTTCAGAGGATCTGTAAAGTCAAATATATTTTTATAATAATACTAAGATTTTTATATCTTTTACGTGGTAAATACCAATAGATACAACCCACACAAACAAAAGTTCTCTGGGGGGAATCTTCAATCATTTTTAAGTAAAAAGGGACCTGAGATCTGATTTAACTGTGTTTTCTTCCGTATCTCTCTTCTAAACCAGTCTTAGCATGTTTCAATGTATGCTCAGGGTTTATGGCCATAGCAGGATTAATTCATCTGTACTTCCCTTCCCCCAAACAAGATTATCTACTTGCAAGCTCTGAGTTTCTGAACCAATCAAAAGTAATATCAATTTATCCTAACTGCAGGAGGTACCGTGACAGGCAAGCACATAGATTATGCTTTGTATGTGGAAAAATCTAGTCTTCTCTAGCGGGATCCTAGAGCAGCAGAAAATCATGGGGGCATTCCATGTCAAGAGGATCTAGGTTTGAATCTGAGATGTTCAACTTACTACCTATTGGAGACTTTGGCCAAGACCCTTTGGGCAAAACTCATGGAACACAGTCGGCACTTAGTAAGTGCTTTTTAATTCAACTATTAAACAATGAAGGCACTGGACTAGATGATTTCCAAAGTCCCTTCAAGTTCAAGAACGAGAAGACTAGGAAGTAGGCCTTCCCCCTCTGAGGCTATACTACCGGACACAGAAACTGACTACCAAGTAAACCACTGAGATGGGGATACCAGAAATCATAATAAGCCACATTTATATGGCACTGGACATAACTTCATCTCATCTGATTAGCAAGTAACCAAATCTCTTAAGACATACCCTGGATTGTGCAGGAAACTAAAGGAGTGACTGAGGTCCTACATCTCACAGTTCCTGGAAGTAATTCAAATAAGCAGCTAACTTTCTCCTTTGAATAAGTACCAAAAGGGAGAAAGAACTAGTCATTGACACTAAGACAAAGCTCAAATGAGGAAGACGCCCTATCTTCCTCTTCCTCATTTAGTTTCCGAAGGAACTAGAAAATTCATTCCCACCACCAGCTTTTCTTGTCAGTCTCAAGGGTTTCCCTGGGGGAAAGCAGCCAATGGAAAAACTGGGGGATAGAATGCAGGTGGCAGGGTTATTCTGGCTTCCACCAAACCTCTGGGGGAAATCTGATCAACAGATGTGAGAAACAAGAGGCCAGGTTGTTTGGTTTGGTTTTGGGTTTTTGGTGGGGGGAAGGGAAGGGAGCAGTTAACAACATCTTCAGAGTTGCACCTCAACCCAACCTAAGCCACCACTGCAGTGGGCTGTGGGGGCAAAAACTGGGAGTGGACAGGATCTTGGGAAGAAGGTATTAGAATGAAGGTACGAAGAGTTGGGGTGAACAGGGCCTTGAAAGGATGTTCGAGTACAATGTGGTTTGGTGGAAATAGCCCTGCACTTGGTCTGAATCCTACCTCCCTAACTTTACCTCTGGACCTCAGTTTCCCCACTGCTAAAATAGGGATAAAAATTTTAGTAGCACATATATCAAGAGAGGTACCACCATCACAGGCGCCCACCTCACAGGACAGTTGAGCTCAAATGAGATGGGCTATAGAAATGGCAGCTATTAGTGATTTATTTCCCCAGTATAAAATTTCAGAATGAACTGAGGATCACAGATTTGGGGCTGGAAGGGACCTCTGGAGATCATCTGGTCTAACCTCTCATATGAAGAGGCAAGGAAGAACAGCTATTGAGAGCACATAGGACATTAAAGAAGGAGCTTATTAGAAGGCTGTATACTGAAGCTGAACAGGCTACTGAGGGAAAGGGTATATTCTGAGAAAGATACTGAAGGGTACAGCGGAAAGAGTACAGACTCTGAAATCAGAAGACTAGTTAGCCCACACATGTGACCTTGGGCAGGTCACTTCTTCCCTCTGGGCCTCAGTCTCCTCACCTGTGAAATGAGGGGGTTAGACTAGATAGATATTAGGAGAAGGAAGATACTACAGAATTTCCAGAGTTTGGAGAGGGCCTTTGAAGACCATCTCATCAATCCATCTCAGAACAAGAATCCCACCTACACCATTCCCACCAAGTGGTCTGGACATCCAGCCTCTGACTGAACACCCAATGAAGGGAAACCTACCACCTTCCCAGGCAGCCTAACCCACTTCTGGATAGTTTTAATTGAGAGGAAGTTTTTCCTTATACCAACACTGGGGGGAAGGGAGGAAGGGTTAACGGGCTAGAAGGAAAACTAAAACAATACTCTGGGGAGATAAGAATAATGAAGATGATAAAGAGGCAGGAAGGTATAATGTAGGGAGGGGAGTCCTAGAACCGAGTTCTCATCCTGCTTCTGACCTACCAAGGGTGAGAATGACCCTGGACAAGTAACTAAACTTCTCAGTGCATCAGGGAACTCCCTAGGACTTGCACATGGCAGAAAAGGTAGGGACTGATAATTTCCTCACCCTATACCAGTCCCTATGCCATCCTATGGATAAAGAACAGACTACAGGGAAAGGAAAAAGGGCATTAGAAAGAAGATAATGAGGCTGAACATAATACCGAGGGAGGCTATTTGGGGGAAATATGACATATGGATGGAATCCCACTGGAGTTGGCTTTTGGAGCATACACAATAGGTATAAGAGAGAAACGAAGATACTGGGGTTGAAGATCTATTTGGGGGTAAGGCCACTGAGGGATGAAAGATCACAGTGAGAGTTTTACACAGCATAGAGGAGGAGGGATTTGTGGGGTGAACAGAATGGGAGAACAAGGGCAATGGGGCTTGGAGAGGGAGAAAGTAAGCAGGCACCGAGGAAGGCCTGGGAAGGAAGAAGGTGAGTTAGAATAACTGAAGCCAAAAAAAAAAAAAACCAAAACCCTAAAACTCACCCTGGAGGGAAAAGCCGTAAAGGAAAAAAGGGGAATTCAAGGAGATAATGTGGGCCACCATGAAATGAGAGAAGTTGGGAAGGAAGGAAGACACTGGGGAAGTCTGGGGGACAACAGACGGTTATCCGGGTCCCCCCAATAAGGCAAGGAGGATACTGGTGATGACTAACCCAATGGGAACAAAGACAGACCCTGGGAAAAGAAAGCCCCTGGGGGGCAGTCAAGGAGGCAAATGGGAGAAGACCAATGAGGAGAGGTTGCTGGGGTGCACCCCTGGACAGAGAAGGTAGTGAAGGCACTGGAGATTATTGGGGTGCACAGAGCAGGACAGGGAGGATACTGGAGACTGGAAATTATTGGGGTGCACACAACAGGGCAAGAAAGACACAGGGGACAGTGGAGATTATTGGGGTACACACAACAGGGCAGGGATGATACTGGGGACAAGAGATTTTATTGGGGTACACACAACAGGGCAGGGAGGATACTGGAGGTTACGGGGGTGCAGACAACAGGACAAGAATACTGGGGTGCGCAGGATATGGGGGAGGGGGAAGGCGGTCGCCGAGTGGACACGAGCTGGGGGGCGTGGGAGGACCCCAGCCCCGCCGCCTCTCACCTCCGGCCTCCGCGCCGCCCGCGCCGGGCCTGGCCTCCATGAGGCCGCGGGGCTGGCGCTGGGCCCGGCCCCGCCGCTCCTCCTCGGGTCCTCGTCAGCGCGGGCGACCCCTCATGGCGCGGTGTCCCCGGCAGGGCCCACCCCGCCCGCCGGCCCCGCCGCCCCTCCCGCCTCCGCGGGAGCGGCCATCAGCTGCTTCCCGTCACGTGGCGCGGGGCGGGCACGAGGAGGACACCTCCTTCCGGCACCGCCTCCGGGAGGGGGGTACAGGGGTGGGGTTAGCGGGGGGGGGCGAGGACGGGGGGCGAGGCCAGGGAGGGGGCGCGGGGTGAAGGGGAGGGGAGATGATGGGACAGGAGAATAAGGGGGCGGGGCGAGGGAGTGGTGCATGAGAAAGAGGTGGGGTGAGGCTGGGAGGGGTGGGGCGGGGGCGGGGCCAGCAGGGTCGGAATCCCGGAGAAGGGGCGGGGCGAAGGATGAGGCACGAGACGGGGCGGAGCCAGGGGAGGACCCCAGGAAAGGAGCGGTGCTTGAGGGGCGGGGCCAGGGCTAGGGCCGGAGAGATGATGGGAGGGGGCTGATGGGCTGAAGGGACCATCCAGCTGGGTAGGAAGTCAATCAACAAGTATTTATTACGCACCTACTATGTGCCGTGCGCTCATCAGTCAGTTCCCTAACCAACCAACCATCACCTCTCAAGCGCCTGCTATTTACGGGGCATCGGGTACGAAGAAAAGCAAGAACAGTCCCTGCCCTCAAAGAGCTTACGTTCTTATTGGGGAGAAAAATGGTAACTGGGCGCAAAAATATATGTATACACAGTGACTGGACGATAATTTCAGAAGGGAAGGCACTAGGAAAAGTCATTTAACCTCTGTCTGCCTCTGTTTCCTAATCTGTAAAATGAGAATAAAAATAGCACCTACCTCCCAAGCTTGTTGTGAGGATCAAAGGAGATATTTGCAAAAGGGTTTGCAAACCTTAAAAGAGCCTTATAGTGTCTACCTATCGTCATCATTAGCAGCCAGGAGTGAAAGGGATAGGAAGATACTAGGGGAAACCATCTGAAGAAGGTCAGACTTGAGCTGAGTACCGATGGAAGTCAGAAAGGGACAGCACAAAGCATTCTAGGCATGGGGCATAGCCAGTACAAAGACATGGAGCTTGTGTAGAGCTGCCCGTAGGCCAGTGTCTCTGGATCATAGAGGGGGGTGGAAGGGAGTCAATGCCAAATAGAGGAATCTATACTTGATCCTGGAGGGAATAGGGAGCCAATGGAGTTTCTTGAGTAAGAGGGTGATCAGGTCAGAAAATCACTTAGGCAGTTTTAGGAGAATCATTTGGGCAGCTAGGTTGAGGAGGGATTGAAGAAGGGAGAAATTTGAGACAGGGAAACCATTGCCAGGGAGGTCATTCCAATAATATAGCAGAAAAGTGATGAGGGTCCGAGCTAAGAGTAAAGAGACAGAGACATATATGAGAGAGATTATTATTATTAATGTTAATAGCTAGAATCTACAGCTCTTTAAGGTTTGCAAAGCACTCTACAAATATTTCATTTGCTACTATTATTATTCTCATTGTATAGATGAGGAAACTGAGGCAGACAGAGGTCAAATGACTTGTTCAGGATCACTTTTAGAGCCCTGCCTTCTGAGATTACCCTCCGTCTACCACGTACATATCCTATGGTTAACACGCTTAAGGAAAAACTAGCAAATGACCAGACAGGTAAAAGGAGAACCAGGAAAAAGTAGTGTCACCAAAACCTACAAAGAAGAGAGAATATTGGAGAAAATGATCTGCCCTGTCAAAGGCTGCAGCGAGGTCAAGATGAATGAGGAAGGAAACAGAGAGAGGGATGAGGGAAAGGAACCCAAGCAGAGGAAACAAATGAGAATTATGAGATTAATAGGGAGAGTCTGAACTGAGGGAGATGGAAGCCGAGATAAAGACAGAGAGAGAATGGACTGAAAAGGAAACGCTGGGGGTTAAGGGATCCCCCTTATTATGGGGATTATGGGAAGACCGGATGGTTGATGAGGGTTGAAGTCTGGGGACACACAAATAATGGGACTTAAAAAAAAATGAAAGATGGGAACTAGCACGAGAGAAATGGGGCATGTGGGGACCAAAATAAAGGGCTTAGATGAAGGAAGAGGAGAGACAGGAACTGAGGTATTATTGAGGCACAGATATGGGGACAGAGTTAAAGTGGGGGAAGAAAAATAGATATAAGGAATGAGAGGGGGGATTACTATGGAGAAATGTAGGGGCTGGTATGAAGAAATTGAGCAGGGGAGATAAAGGGGTTGAAGACCACAAATACAAAGAGATCAAGGAAGGAGGGAAGGTTAGAGGCACCCTCACCCTCTTACTCCCTCCCCCAACGGGGCCACCTAGACCCTATCTGGGCTGCTGGATTGCTCACACACATACAACTTTGATGAACTAGATGGAAGTCTCCCTTTAGTAAGATGGCAGATTAGCAGACCTTGTCATCTGCTCTGTCTCTATTCCCTTCCATCCCCCAGCTCTGTCATCTGACCTACTGACTTTACATAAGAACCCCTAGGCGTTGTCATTTGCCCCAGTTCTGCATCCTTAGAATTTCCAAGTCTTTCTCCATCTCATTTTCACCTAAGTTTCTTTTATGTATTGTCTCCCGCCATTGGAAGGTCAGCCCCTGGAGAACAGAAGCCGTCTAGTTTTCCCATTTTTGCGTTCCCGGTGCTTAGCACAGAGTAAGTGCTTAATAATGCGTCAGGGTAGAGGTGAGTGTGATAAGGTAAAGAATAGGACCCAAGATAGGAGAAACAGATGCTGCTGGGCATAAAATAAAAGTCAGAGAGATACTGGGGTAAAACAAATGGAGGTGGGGCATAAGATAAAAAAATTTAAGAACTGGAAAAGACTTTAAAGATGTTCATTTTGGGGGCAGCTAGGTGGTTCAGTGGATAGAGCACCAGCCCTGAAGTCAGGAGGACCTGAGTTCAAATCCGGCCTCAGTCCAAATACTTGATATTAGCTGTGTGACCCTGGGCAAGTCACTTAACCCCAATTGCCAAAAAAAAATGTTCATTTTGCAGATGAGGAAACAGGCCCACAGAGTTTCAGTGAATCTCAAAAGGTCACACAGTAATTGGCATCAATAAGATCCTTAGACCTATTTGGGAGGGAAGTCACCTAGTCCAATGCCCTCAATTTATAATTGAGGAAACTGAGGCTCAGAGAGGTTAAATCACTCTCTACCCAGATTTAAATTCAGGTCTTCTGACTCCAAGTCTAATAGTCTATCCATTGTTTTACTCTACCTTTGCGGGGAATGTTGGGAGAGAAGTATGGAAAGGAGGGGCTATAGACCCACGTCTTCAATGCACTTGCCCCTTTTTCTTCCTTTAAGACAAAACTCAAATAAGCTTCTACAACTCATAGGTTCCCAAAGTGGACTGGGGAGTGCTGGAACAATCCAGGGGGGTGGTACCAGCCTCGGGTGCAATTGGGGGGCATTGAATAAAAATAAGGGGGCGGTGGAAGCATAAGGAAAGAAGAGAAGAGAAGAAAATTTTGAAAAACTGTTCATACGTGTTTCATCTGTTGTGTAACAGAGTTAAAGTCGTAGTGATTATGTTATTTTCCAAATAAACGCACATAATGCAAGTTATAACCAATCAGTGGTCAGGTCCCATAAGAAGTCCTAATGAGCAAGTATTGCCAGGCAAGTTTGTTGTACATTGTGGAGAAGTCAGGCAGCATTGTCAGGAATATGTGCATGTAATGACTTGTTTACAATATGATAATATATGGTTATATGATGCAATATTGCATCATCAAAATTTCAATGAAGGAAAAAAGCCACAAATTTACAATAAATTATTAAATTTAAGGTGTGTCATTAAAAATTTATATTTTTTGAAATGATGTAAATTTTGAAAAAAAACTATTAAAGGGTTAAAGAAAGTAGATTTACAGAGGGGTGCTGAGTAATTTTTTTAAAAGGGGCCATAGGCCAAATAAGTTTGGGAACCTCTGCTCTATGTAGAGCACCTCTCCTGATTTCCTAAGTACTCATGCACTGTTGGGGAGCTGTGAAGTAGTACAGCCATTCTGGAAAGTAATTTGGAACTATGCCCAAGAAGCTATTAAACTGTGCATACCGGGGGCAGCTAGGTGGCACAGTGGATAGCACTCCAGTCTTGGAGTCAGGAGGATCTGAGTTCAAATGTGGTCTCAGACACATAATACTTACTAGCTATGTGACCCTGGGCAAGTCACTTAACCCCATTGCCTAGACAAAAAACAAAAACAACAACAACAAAAAAACTGCATACCCTTTGACCTAGTGACACTGCTACTAGACCTATACCTCAAAGAAAGAGAAAAAGGACCCATATTTTATAGGGGATACCCATCAATTGGGGGAGGGCTGAATAAATTATAAAACAGAATTCAGACACTTACTAGCTGTGTGACCCTGGGCAAGTCATTTAACCCTATTTGCCTCAGTTCTTCTGTAAAATGAGCTGGAGAAGGAAAAAGCAAAATCATTCCAGTATCTTTACAAAGAAAACCCCAAATGGGGTCACCAGAGTCAGATGTGAGTGAAATGACTAAATGACAACAAAATGTAATAAAATACTATAGCACCGTAAAGAAATGATGAAAGGGGTATATTCAGAAACCTGGGAAGATATATGAATTGATGAAGAGTGAAGTCAGCAGGAAAAGGAAAATAATTTACATAGTAACAACAACATTGTCACGAAAAGCCAATTTTAAAAGACTTAAGTACCCCGATCAGTGCAATGCCAAAAAATTTCAAAGGACTGATGAGACATGCCTCCCACCTCCTGCCAGAATGTTGGTGAACTCAACGTACACACCAAGACACAGTCATTTTCAGACAGCCTAGGTGAGAATCTGTTTTGCTTGATTAGACAATTTTGTTACAAGACTTCTGTTTTTCTCTTTTCGGGGGCAAGGGAGAAGTGTGAGGATTATTGATAGGATTGCCAAAGGAAAACAAAAAAGAGAAAGGGAGGGATAAAGAGGT